CCCTTTACAGTTGCTTAAACATGACAAAACTGTACACAAAATGTGCACCTAATTTGACATGCACAGCCTTATATATTTATGTTCTATTATGTTTATGAAGAATGGAGAAGAGATGCTTCCTTAGCTTTTCCCTCTTTATCTTCAGAGCTGCTATCCATGATATCAATCCGAGCTCAGGAGGAGTGATATAGGATTGTTTTTTTCTAAGTAATTTGTGTGTTAGGGATAATAAAATACATGCTGTTTCCCAGACTACTGTAGGGAACTGTTGCCTCTCAGAAAATTGGCAGAAGTGTTTCCCAGAGGAAAGAGATCCTGATTACTTGATAACTTCTTCTGTTGAAGACAAATAAGTATTTGCTAAGATTCAAAACAACTGAAACAGTCCATTTCAATGCCATTACCATCCTCACCTTATGTTGGGCCTCTGAAAGAGCTGGAAGAAATTATCAAAAGCTTATATGACTATTTTTGAGAATATATGGATTGACTTGCATATACTGTTCTGATGCACAAATAATGTATATTATTGGAAGAATAGAAAAAATCATATCAGGTTCAATACTTAAAAGTTCTTATCAGGAAACATATATGAAATAAATAGAAACAGAGATTTAAAGGGTTATGTCTAGATTGCAATGTATATTTTTTTTCGAAGACTAAATCCATAAGAGCATTTTGTCATGTGTTATGAAGTCACTTCAGTTTGTATAACTTGAATCTTGTATGATTAAAATACTGGAGACTCAGGTTTCAATTCAGTTTATGCATTAAGCAGAAATCCAAATTGAAATATCTCTTAGAAATGGCTGGCTAGCTTCTGCTGGAATATAAATATACCCAATGATGAAGGACCACCACGTCTGGATAATTGGTTCCACCAAATAGATTCTGTTACTGCAAGAAAATGTACATTAAGCACTGCTAGTTAAAAAGTGATATATAAATTACAGACTGAAGAATTCACCAAGTCTTTCTTTATGAATTCTGTTTCACAGAGCAGCATTAGAATGACCAGTGGTCCTTTGTATTCTTTCCGTGCTCTTCCTCCTTAAAAACAGCAAAGTATTGAATTGGAAATGTTTTGGAATAAACGTTGACTTAGATATCTTGCTTTCTGCATAGGTGGCAGTTGCCTCAGAATTAAAACATGGCTGGACAAATATCAGAATCAGATCAGATCAAGCAGGTAAATACAGTAATCATTTTTGAATGTTTGTGTTTGGTCCTTTTGAATGGTTGTATTACCACATAATTTGACATTTGAATAGCCTTCCCTAGAAAGAAAGCTATGGTGAACATCTGTAACAAATGCATTTATCAATTCAAAAATACATATTTGATACTACCCAAGTGCCCTTACTTTTATGGATGTTACTTCTTCTTAATCTGTCCTTCATATTTATTTCCTGTGAAGAATGGGCATGGTCAAGTCTGAATATCTATTTGATTTATTCACAGTTTAAGGAATTTCTTGGAACATACAACAAACTAACAGAAACCTGCTTCCTAGATTGTGTGAAAGATTTCACTAGCCGAGAAGTGAAGCCAGAAGAAGTATGTGACTTATTTTATATGTTTTGGATTGTAACCAGTAAGAAGTTAATATCAGCTAGAAAGCTGCAGTGTGATGAGGGAAAGATAAAGTATTGATAAAACATCAACAATAATCAGACTTTAATTAGAGCAGTAATATAAAAAGATATCTCCTGGATCAGATTGATGATGATTTACTCTAATCCAATTTCCAATTCAATTCTAATTTTACGATTCAGGCAAGATAGATATTTCTGGGGAATGGTGGTTTTGCCAGCTAATTTAAAATTTGCAAGTCATATATCAGAGAGAGTATACAGAACATGCTAGATAATTAGTTAATAGTAACAGTTTATTGATGAAAATCCATTGCATAGATTTCTCTCACAACTCCCGCAGTGAGTCAAAGCAGCAGGGAAGAAATTCCATGGAATTGAATCACAAAGGGCTTGCTTTCATTGGGCAAGTCTTATATCTTATGACATATAAATTATATCAATACCTCTTTCTCCTTCAGTCCTAGAGTTGCTTAGTTAAGGCATCAGCATGGAATATTATATATTAGGAATCTAGCAGGTACTGAGGACCAAATAAAGGCAAATGTGGGAAGTAATTTCACATAGTCCTTGACTTAGGACCACTTGTTTAATGATTAAAGTTATAATGGCCTCAGGGTGTTTTTCAGTCCGTTTAAAGCACTTCTGGCTATTGTAAAACGTGATCACGATTGTAGTGTGGATGCTTGGTAAGCTGTTCTTATGACCAATTTCCAATCGCATAATCACTATTTGCAATCTTCTTTGCTGGCTTCCCCAGAAAATCAATGAGGAATCTGGCAGGGAATGTTGTAAGCAGCTGCTGTCTGCCAAGAAGACTCTCTCATCTCTGAGAGCTGGGTGAAAGAACTTCCTATCAAGGGGAGCTGAGCTCCCTTGCTGTGATTTTCACAGCCTCTGAGTTCCATTCCTGTTCCCCTCCACATATAGAAGAGAGCTGATATCCTCCTGCAGTGTGCAGAAATGGAATTTAAATCCTGATGATTTAAACTCCATTTCTGTGCCCCACAGAAGGAGTTTTCTTCCATGGAGGAAGAGCTAAGACCTGACATCCTTCAGTGGGTAGCTCTTTCACACACCTTCTTCCAGAGATAAGAGGGATCCAAAATACAAATAGAGAGTGAAGAGGCAGTGCATTAAGCTGAGGAACTTGGATTGCCTCAGGCAAGAGGAGGAGGCCCTGGGAGGCCCAATCAGGTGACACACTAGTGTCTCTTCACTGATGTCTCTACTTGGATTTTGGCAAGGAGGATTTTCAGCTCCTAAGCACAGAGAAAGCGCAGTCAGGAAAGGAGCACAGGATCCTTGGGGTGAGATGGGAGGGTGTACATGAGTATCTCTCTCTCTCAGGAGCTGAAATCCTGCTTGGATTTTGGCAGGGAGAATTTCAGCTCCTGAGTGGAGCCTCCCAAGGTCTCCCCCTCCCTCTGAGGCACCATGCATTCCTTGCTGGGACTTCTTGTGCAAACACTTTTTATTTATTTATTTGTATCCCATCTTTATTGTTTTTACAAATAAGGTGGTGAACATATCTGGCACACCTTTTTTCTCCTATTTTCCCCACAACAACAACAACCCTGTGAGGTGAGTGGGGCTGAGGGAAAGTGACTGGCCCAAGGTCACCCAACTGGCTTTCATGGTTAAAGCAGAACTAGAACTCATGGTTTCCTGCTTTCTACCCTGGTACCTTAAGCACTGGACCAATTGCTTTCTCTTAATGAACACAACCAAGAGTACTGGGAATGTAGTCACAAAATGTCTCATTTAACAAGTGCTTCATTCATTGATCAAGATTCTGGCCCTAATTGTGGTTTTTAAGCAAGGACTACCTCTGTTTAATAGAGTTAGAATGGGAAGTTTGTTGTCTTATAAGTTGCAAGAGTAAATAAGAACTCACTTGACTAAGCATCCCATTCTAGATATTAATTAAAAAGTTGAGTCAAACTCAGGATAGATGGTGTGCTGACAATGAATATAGTTATTCTATTTAGCTGTCAACAGATGAAATCTACTGTAAAGGTAAAATGCAATTTTTGTAAGATTGATATTTTTTTTTCTGTTCTCTGTATTTTCTTGTATCCCCCACCTCCCTTTCCAAATTACTAGAAGTGTGTTTAATATAGTTGGCTCTGTTTAATGGGGATCAGCAAAGTTAGAAACCTTCCATTATTAGTGCAATTTTTTCTCTCTTAATTTGCATTCTATTTCTGTTAAAATAAATTGAATTCCTTGTTAATAACCATTGATATAGATTATTCCCCCAGGAATTTTCTTTTGTTACAATCATACAAGCTAGCAGCTGTCATTATATCCAGCAGCAGGACACACTCTATCTAGAATCGAAGAGAATTACTTTAAATCCTAGAATTGTTTTTCCTCAATGCAAAAAATGTCACAATCCAATCTGGTAGTAACCGAAATAGACATAGTGACTTGTCCAAATCTCCCATTTATTTTGGTATTAGAATAGATTTTTTTTAAAAAAAAAACATGATATATGCAATTACTTTCTATTGTTATATAAAAACTAAAAGTTCAAAATTCTTGATAATAACATAGCTGGTCATTTGTCATTTATAATTTGTCACTAGAAATGGAGGAAAATCATTACTAGAGACCAATATCTTAAGTGTTTTAAAATTAAGAGATTCTAATGCCTGAAATGTTCATAATTTGTTTTGAAAACACTGATAGCGTTAAATTATCATTATAGCAAGCTCAAAAGGGAAGTATTGAGTAGGTTCTGGGTACTTGCCTCTGCTTTTATCTAACATTTTATGATGTTTTTAATGTAGATTCTATAGATGTTTAAATGTAATATCAGATGCCCTGGGATGAGAGTTTATGAAAAGTAGTGAATGTGTATATGCGTTTAAAAGTATAAGAACATTTTAAAATACTTTGCATATTAAAAAATTGAATAACAAGTAGGTTCCTCCTGTTTTTTCCTTATACAGATAACTTGTTCAGAACACTGTTTACAGAAGTATTTAAAAATGACACAGAGGATATCTATGAGATTTCAGGAGTATCATATACAGCAGAACGAAGCATTGGCTGCCAAAGCAGGACTTCTCAGCCAGCCCCGCTAGAAAACAGCAAATTGTCCATACGAAGGAGTGCCAGCATTCCCTACACTACATTGTGAGGATGCCTGGTGTCTAGTGCTATTCTAGCAACATCTATCACCAGCTCAACCACTCAAAATGGGATTGCTTAAAGAATGATTCAGTTGTCTCAAATAATCTGGTCTACAGTTGGGATTGAACAGCCATGGAGTTTATGGAGCTTTTTTTCCAAGATTGTCTTATACTGTATGCAGGAATAATGTTGATTCCATCTTTCCTGAAAAGATGGGTTGGTTTTACATGTTAATAGGTTAGAGATAAGGAACGAAAACACATTTTATTTTTTATTGTTTCTAATACGGTGATTATTCATTTTAAAAGAAAAATGTGTTGTCCAAAATTATATGTAAAAATGTCTAAGACAAGCTTTATTTTTATTTAATCAAAGTAAAAGAGATAAAAATTACTGTTGCTTTTGAGGAGTTTTTTGGAATTATCAATGGTCATTAGGTACTCTCTTAAGAAAAGCCTTGTGTGATGCTGCATTCTCACTCATCTCCAGCATTCTGCTGGCTCACAGCTGTCTCAAATCGCTAATAAATGGGGAGAAATAGAGTAATAATGAACTTAGATATTTAACTTTTTGATTTTCTAAAAACAATATTCTAAGAAGATATTTATATTCTTAGATAACAAATTTTACTTCCCACTTCCCCTGGATGCTTCCAGGTCTTATTTTAACTTACTTAAAGATAATACTTTTAGTTTAGAAGCATATGAAGTTCAAGAATAAAAAAGTTAATAATTATGGACCAGCTTAGCAACTTGAACAGTAGATCATTGGAAACAATATAGTTTAGTTGATACAAAATGCTACCCACCAGGTTAACAAATGTGATTCTTGCATTCACATACTATACCTATGCAAATATATTTGTCCGAAATGGTATAGGGTTTCCTGCCTGAGCAGGGGGTTGGATTAGATGACCTCCAAGGTCCCTTCCAACTTTACTATTATTATTATTATATTGCTCTGTTTAATGGGATTCACTGGTTCACACAGCATAAAATATTAGCTCAATTTTCATTTTATATACAGTCCATTTTTGTTTAGCCTAGCTCAGGGGTAGGCAATCTTGGCTCTTTTAGGACTCATGGACTTCAACTCCCAAAATTCCTGAGCCAACATGGCTCAGCTTGGAAACCTCTCCCTTTCCCCTCAGCATGGCTGGCTCAGGAATTCTGGGAGTTGAAGTCCACGAGTCATAAAAGAGCCAAGGTTGCCTACCCCTGGCCTAGCTTGTGTGAGCCTGGTGATTGTGAGAGGGAAGTATTAATTTAAGTGAAATTAAATTTACTGCTATCTTTTAAAACCATTAAAAAAGTTTAATTCATCTTTTGCACAGAAAATGAAGCAGCATTGAAATCTTGCTACTCTACAAAAAGTAGGAGGCCTGAATGAATTTCTGTTTTCTAGGGAAAAAAGCCAAGATTTTATGCTGATGAATAAAAATACCTTCTTGTTGGATTCTCTTTTTTTAAAAGCTTAGCTGCTACTTGTGTATTTGATTTTGGAATTAATTAATTCTAAATTTTGCAGATTATTTTAAGGGCCTTTTATGAGCCATGAACATAACATGCTGTTTTTACATTTGAACAGCAGAGATTTTGAAAATGATTCTACTGCATTCATTAATGTTTAAAAAGTTTAAAATTTACCTACTTGAATAGTATATGGAATACTGCGCACAAGCATTTCAAATACTTGGGGAGGTAGAGTTTGCTCCAAGACTTGTATTAGCTGGTTTGGCTGTGCGCACACAGAAATGGTATTGATGAGGTGATCAACGCTCTTCTTCTGCTCTCCTGTAATTAATTCATATTCCTAAAATTTAATCCATCATTCTTAAAACCTGTTCAATCATTTATATTACATTCACCTACAATTTGAATTCTGTATCTAACTGTAAACATTGATTTAACCTGCTGCTGTCTACTATGCTGCAATGTCATAAAATTATAGTCCTAAGTGCTACAGCAAATGAAGCAAAGGTGAATAAAATTGCCAGCAACCACATCCTCTCTGTCTGCAGCCTTTACCTTAAAAGTAAGTAGCCAAAACAAAATTTCCTGCAAGTGTATTCTGTGCAACCTTTGCAGTTTCTAGCCTAGTCCCTTAACCACTACATCAAATTGACTCCAAATGTTGCTGGACTTATTTTCAACAGCACCGGGAAGCATAGCCAATGCTGAGTGTCAGTGGGAAAGAGTTTAATAAAAGGTCTCAGATTCCCATGCCTGAACTAGCTTTCACACTTTGCTTTTACCATCCAGCATTGTGGAGAAACATCAAGTGAAATAATACCACCTTTATTCATCACTTAATTTTCAGAAGCAGAAACATTCAATGCAGTTCCTTCCATGTTCCCAAACTATGCTTCATTAAAATGGGCACTTTTACTATTTTCGAAGTTAAACATCATATCTCTGTCAACTTTACCTTTTGTCAACCAGAGTTCCCCTAGCTGTATCTCCTGCAGAAAGAACTCTTGTACTTCTTCAGATTCTTTTAGTTTGCGTAACTAAGGGGTTTCGGGGTTTTTTTTAAAAAAAAGAAATGGAAATCTGTGAATTAATCTGAGTTGAAAAAAAAAATCTGAAATTAAGTTTCCAGTTGTGGAAATAGATCTTGTGAAGGCTTTACAATTACAATTTATGAAGAGGCCCTATTGGTTTCAGAAAAGCATCAGTTTCTATGAATATTTCATGATTACAGGTAGTCCTTGACCTACAATCATTCATTTAGCGACTAAAGTTCAAATGGCATTGAAAAAGGTGACTTCTGACCATTTTTCACACTATGATTGCTGCAACGTGTCCCCATGTCACGTGATCAAAATTCAGACACTTGGCAACTGGCATGTATTTATGACAGTAGCAAAGTCCTGGCATCATGAGATCAGCTTTTGCGACCTGACAAGCAAAGTCAATGGGGAACCCAGATTCACTTAACAACCATGTTACTAACTTAACAACTGCAGTGATTCACTTAACAGCTGAGGCAAGATACGATGTAAAATGGAGCAAAATCGACCTAACAACTCTCTTGCTTAGTAAAAGAAATTTTGGGCTCAACTCTGGCTGTAAATTGAGGACTACCTGTACTGGCATTTAAAGGGCATTTTATTATTGTTATATTACTGTTTCCATTACTGTACTAGTATTTTTACATTTAGCAGTAGAACTTTAAATACTTAAAACTGAAAGATCTATAAAGTCAAAAATGTTCATGTAGTTCCAATACAGGACACGTTTGTAATAGATCATAGATGTGGAGCTAAATACATATCCTTTCCCAGTTTCTCTTATTTATACCTTTCAGTGCCACCCATTCCAATAGCACATTGAGGGGGCAGCTTCAACTCCTACAATTTACCCTACAATACAGAGCCTGCGATAGAAAAAGAATTTATCACAAAGACATCTCTGGCAGGATCTGCAGAAAGCAACCCATTGAGGACCTAAGAGGATAAGGTGACTTGAACATGAATAAATATCTCCTGAAAGTAATTTGGGCTGAAGATATGATTGGGTTCAAAAACAACTGGCAAACGAAAGCAGTTATTTTAACATAGGCATGATATGGCAACTCCTAAAAATGCTACTTGCCAGCTAGGCAGTTATATTTACTAATTCAGGGCCAGCTGCAATTTCTGAACTGCACCCTCATCAGCATGCCAGCTGTGAAGGATATTGGTATCTAGTTCTGCAACATCTGGAAAATTTTCCATTTGGATTGAGAGACTAAGAGAACTGATATTAATTCTGAATAGGGGGAATCACAGCTAACCTGATATTCATTAATTGCATGTAATTAATATCTATGTCATCCTCAAGGAAAACTAACTTAATCCAGTGCATGTTAATTAGTTCTGTTCTATCTATCTCATTTCTAAATCACCCATCCTTGATAAACTAACTTAGGATCGGATTTAAATTACCTCCAAGCTATGCCAATATTCTTAAAAATTTACTAAAATTCTACGAAATAAACTGAGAAACCATATATTTAAAAATGTTTACTGCCAACAATTCTGGGCTTCTTGCATTTTAAAATACTACTCCAATTTAAAAAAGGGTAGACTAAGTCCAATTCTCCCCATCAACTACATTAAAGTCAGGAAAGAGCGCTAAAAGTATAATTTTTGCATAAATTCAGTAATGGATCAAAATCAGCTCTATTCCAGCAGTCACTCGGCCTCTACTTAGAAGGTTCTTAATCTATTGCTGCCTTTTTGAATTGGACTAGAAATAAGAATTCTGACATTTAATTATGGCATGTATTACAATATTCATGTGGAGCTTAAATATATAGTCTTTGTATTTTACGACTAGGCTATCCAAGAAATCTGCACAATTTCCAAAGGTTATTTTTCACCTCTGCTTCATATTCTTTTGCTTTTTTCTGTTCTTTTCTTCTTTCTGTAAGAGTAATATGAAATATTTAGTAACTACTTTTAATAGCTTAGAGCTATGAAAATATTTAAATAAATTAGCATCCCTGTTTCTTTCCTTACTACTATTCTACAAAGGTTAAATAGTTAGATTTTCCATTTTTTTCTTCTAGATAAATATATTTCCTAAATAAACAAAGAAATAACTAAGTAGGAAGCTCGTGTGATAGAAAGTTTTTCTGTCTGAAACTTTCTGATAGAAAGTTTTTCTGTGTGAAATTAGACTTATTAAAATTGCAAAGAAGTTTGAATAAGAATCTCCCAGTTTTTCTCTTTGGGACTGGGCAGTGCAGTGTTGGCCTTTTACCACAGCCAGTTTCAACTGGTGTTGATAGGAAGCAAGAGTCCAGCAGCCCATGATTGCTCATTGGTAGGGTGCCCAGGGCTCAGTATTCTCTCTGCTCCTTTTTAACATCTACATGAAGCTGCTGAGTGAGATCATCCAACACTGCAGGATGAGATATAATCAGTGGTGGGATTCAGCCAGTTTGCACCAGTTCGGCAGAACTGGTAGCTAATTTTTTGTTGCCCAGGCCCAGAATGGACTTCCGGAAGCAGCATCCACACAGAGAACTGGTTGTTCACATATTTGAATGCCACCACTGGATATAATCAATATGTCAATGATATTCAGCTTTACATCTCCATCCTTAGTGATCCAAGTGATGTTGTGGCTACTCTTTTGTAGTGCCACTCTACCCAGAATTAAGAATGATAAACCTCTGGATCCCAAGGCTCTGCATATCATGAGTACTTTTAAAAAAAAGAATGCTACTACAATGTGTTTGAGTAGCCATTTACGTCTTCAATCTGATGGATCTGTAGAAGGTAAATTGCTAAGTGTAAACCCTACTCACATAAATGTGACAATAAACTCTATTGATTCAATATGACCTATATAGGATTGAAATGGGAGATGTACATGACTGGTATGGAAAGAGGTTTCTTCCTTATTTGTAATACTCATTCATGAACCATTGAAAATTTGTATACATAAATATAAGGAAACATATCTAGAGCTGAATGTGATAAAATGCCAAACATATTTATAATACAGAAATAACAATGATAGTAATACTATTCCATTAGATTCACTTTTTATCACCAAACAGATTTTTAAAAGTAGGCTGAAATGGTAAATTAATTAATAAATTAATACTGTATAGGCAGAGCATCTAAGGATGTAAGGAAAAACTGTGAATGCTATGTAAGTCACCTTGAGCTTCTGGAGGAAAGGAGCGTATAATTCGCATACATGCATCTATACCTAAAAGAGTATGAGAGTTTATCCCAAGCGTCTATAGATTGGTCTAATTAAGCTGTTTTTTTAATTTTGTGAACTACTAGCCATTGTGAGTGTGAAGATAATGGGCTATGTGAGTAATGGCAAGGACTCAGTTATTGCTTTATGTCTCAACAGAAGCAAGATGTCCTTATTTTCCAATGACATAACTATTATTTTTATACAGTATATAACGGGGACAGGGGCTGTTATGGATCACTCCCATGTGGGAAAGACAAAGGAAGTAGAGAAATAGAAGGATTTCAGTACTTAAGAAGCTTCTTGGATGAGAAGCGAAATGTCTTTAAGGAAAAATGAAGGAAGTCCAGTTGCGTTTTGAAAAAGTACCTTTGAGACAACCACGAGCTGGATGACTGAGAATCTCCATTTAGACAGAAAGGGAGGAGTTCAGTTTATAGCGCTAATTTCACCTTTTTCTTCACTCACCCATTGGAGGAGCTCAAGCATAGTTCAGCTCCCCGCCCCATCTCTCTCTCTCTCTCTCTCTCTCTCTCTCTTCCCTTCCAGAGACGTGAAGCTGCCTCCATCGCCCCCAGCCTGCACTGCCCTCCAAATCATCGGCCCTGCCTTTGCAGAGCACCGGGCTGGGGAAATTACGGCCAGGCTGGTAGGAAACGTGGGGTTCCTCCAGCTTAAAAGAGCCTGCCAAAGGACGCGGGTCACCTGTCCCTTTTCGGACAACCCGGGTGTTTTTTCTCCCCCGCCATTCCTAGCAAGGGCATGCCCGGCCACGCCTTCTCTCTTAAGGCGGGGAAAAGACTGCAGGGGCGGCCGCTCTCCCTCCCACAGGACTTACTTTCTCTCAGTCTCCGTTTGAAGTCTGCGGTGTTCCGCCGTTTTCGGTCGAAGTAGACGCAATAGCCGAGGACAGCGAGGCCACAGGCGCCCGCCAGCAGCCACAGCAGGACGCTCCGCGACCAGCATGCCATGGCTGGGCAGCCGCTCTCGCCGATGCGTCCTTTTTTCCCTGACTGCTGGAGCGGTCTGAGGAAGAGAGGGAGGCTTCTAAATGCAGAACTGCCTCGCCTGGCCTTCCCTCTTTCCGCGAAGCAGCTACTGGGCTGTGATTACAGGGAGCTCTACCGCTGGTTGACACGGAGAGCTTCGTTAGGAGGAATATAGCAATGAAAAGGATTCCAACCCGCAGCCCCGGTCTACGAAAGCGAGGTTAGAAAGAAGCCCATTAATATGTGCGGCTCTTCCCCCACCTCCGGGGAAATAGTGAACTTTTACAAATTGCGCTTGCCGAGTGCAAAGTCGGTTTTTATTCCTTATGTCCGCTTAGTTAGGAGCCAAATAGTCCGCCCGACCTCTGGTGACTTAGTGGACGGGTTTTCTCTCTCGATTTCTCTTAGCAAGCGTCCTTAGCTTGTCCAGAGGCATTTTAGGACCGTACTTGTGTGGCTCCCGACCCCCTTTCTCGGCATCTTTCCTTGCTTCCCTCGATCGTTTCAAACCTAGGCGGGTTTTTTTCTAGACTATCATCTACTTGTCATCACCTGCACAAAGTATGTGCGTTTCAACTGTCTTAAGGGAATAATCAGCTTTTAATTGATCCTGTAATAACTGACTGGTGTTTTTTTTTTTCAGGGTGGAGTTTGTAAACGTGTTTTATCTGGGTTAATTTGTACAAAGGCCACTCACTTGGCAGAAAATAGGCAGCAATAATAGGAAAACTTTATTGAATAATCTTATCACGTGGAAACCAGGACTCTGATCTAAATGGATTCTGTGCACCTACTTAACAAATTTTAAATTTATGCGTTTACAGCCAAGTCTTTGTTGTCTCATTATCAGAAATTATGTGAGCAATTCAGTTACTACAACACAGAATTCCTAAACAAGAGCCCCTTAAAGAAGAGCTACCTAAGTAAAGTAAATCTAGATATTTGTTCTTTTACCATGCTGGTGGGCTTTTATTGTAGTAGCTGATTTAACAAAAACAAGCCCCTTCACATATAAAAAGAATTAGGAAAATATAATACCAAATAAAAAAATGGTGATAGAGCAGAGCTAAAAAAATTATAAACAAAACTTTAAGGGAATATAATCAGATTGCTCAACAGTCTCTTATTTAAACATTCTCTTCATTTTAAAAAAAACCTAATTCAAATGTTAACTGCCTATGCTTGCCCAACAATCCATTGTTGCAAGGCAAGTCATTTTTTATCACTTTTGCATGCAAGTTCACAATTGTAGATGTTGATAGATTATTTGATACTTGGATATACCGGTAGCAAAAGAGAATGTGTCTTAATTAAAAATGATAATTTAAAATGTGAAATAATTCCATGAATTTAATTATCAGCAGAAAGGTAAGTAGGATTTCAGAAGTTTAGGGGCTGTTGTGTATTTAGAACCTTAAGAGCTTATTCACACTCTAAAAAGACTGCACAGGGGAAACATGCATTCACAAAATGACTGTCAAGGTCGGTGTGCCAGTCTGTTTCATTCATTCATATTCAGTAAACTGGTGGGATTACTTTTTGCCGTGCTTTCTATGCTTTCATAATGATCCTTACTTTACTTACTGTGATCTTTTTTCTGGGAAGATGGATATTTATCTTTTGTGCTAGTTTTTTAAGAATGCCTTTGTAGCTTACAGGTATTTATAGACATAAGGATAATGCAATTCAAATTGAACAGGTGCTACCAGAAATAAGGTCTTGCCAATGCCAGACTACCTGACTCTCATCTTAGTAAACTGAAGATGGATACACACAATATTGTGAAATCATAGCTGTCAGTTCTTCAGTGGGTGCTGGCCTTTACATGCATCAAATTCTTCCCAAGAACCCAGGATATCATAATGCACAGGTGTCAAACTTGCCATGTCACATGACGTGTTGTGACTTTTTTTTGCCTTGCTGGGGTGGGTGTGGTTTCTGTATGATGCAACCAGCAGTTTGACACCCCTGTCATAATGTATCCGCATAGTATATGTGGGGATTCAAGTAGTGTGGCCTTTTGTATTGAAATGTAGTCAATGCGTTTATTTTGTTAAGTGCTGTCCAAGATTTTTTGGTATGGCACCCATTGTGCTGATAACCATTGGGACCACCATGGCTGGTTTATGCCATTTTTTAATTTTCTGATCTTGTCCAATTTTTTATCTTATATCTTCTGGTACTGCCACATTAATTATCCACACTTTCTTCTTTCCAACCAGTTACATCTGGTGTGTTATGAGCCAAATACTTTGTAGTTTTGAGGCAAGATTTTATCAGTTTGTATTGTGGTGACTTGCTCAGCTAGCCAGATAATTAGACTGGATTTGGCAAATTTACCCACCTATTGAATCCTTCCCAAGGATCAAGGATAGACAGATGTTTTGCCTGTTTTCAGCACCATTTTTTTTTTGCTGTGGTTGTTAAGCAAATCATATGATTGTTTAAGCAAATCCAGCTTCCCTCATTGACTTTGCTTGTCAGAAGCCTCTTGGAGGTCACAAATGGCAATCACATGAGCCCCAAGATGCTGCAACCATCATAAGCACATACCAGTTGTCAAGCACCTTAATACTGATCATCTAACCCTAACCCATGTGATGATTAGAAGTGTCTAATGTATTGTACTATCGTTTTTATAATTCTCTGTGTGAGAAGATTAACACCATGCTATCAAATAGTCCTCACAACGTATCATGATTCTATACCTCTTGTAACAATTGGATTTGACAGCAAATATACAAAATCAACTATTGTAAAAAAATAAAATAAGGCCTAAGTTTAAAAATGTAACTTTTATTAATGCTCACAAGTGAGCTTAATTTGTATCATACATTGAAATAGCTCTGCTTAAGAAAAAGACAGAAAAAGTGCATTTACAAGAGTACTTTTTTCTTTAGTTCTCTATGAGAATGGAAGGAATTGGAATCACAGGTTGACAAAATGGTAAAATGGAACTGCAGGTGACATTGGGCCTTAAGTAAATGACCCCTTTACATGTCTCCCTCTTGAGACCTTCAGATACTGTGAATGTTTAATAATCTGACAATCTAGAGAATCTGTTATAACTCTACAGCATATTAACAAGGAAAAAGGCAGAACTCCCCTTTTCATTGTACAAAGATGAATTTTAAAAATTGATTAAAAAATCACTATATACAATTCTATGCAAACCGTCTTAAATACATGGTTTCTGGAGTTATTTACAAACTGTTTTCAAGTCTGTGGGAATAATCCACAGCTAAAACAGTCATTTTACATCTCAACTTTGGCAGATAACTCACTTCAATGCAACAAATGAAGAATTGTGACAAAGTATTGTAAGGGCAACCCAAGAAATTTGTTCCTCAGAAGTAACAGAAGTACAGGGGCTGCCAAAGTTTTCAAGACAGGGTGCCAGGTTATAGTTGTACACTGTGAAAGATTGAACAGACAAAGGGCTCCATATACCAGTATGGCTGATACATAAAGCCATGTGTATATGAGCTCCTTAAATGAAGTATTTTTTATTGAATGAGTGAGCCTAACTTAAAATTTTTCTCCCCAATTTTATTCTTTTTTAAAAAAATACATAAAAATACAACATCCAATGTCTGAATAAATATATTTAACAAGTCACAAGATACCTTATTTTACACAAAAAATTCCGCTTTAGAAATTTTGTTAAATAACTTCATTGTTATATATTTTATTTTTTTGCCTTTTGTAACAAAATAAAAACTCTGAAATTACATAGAAAAGACAAAATACTTTTGCCAAGGGTAAGATAGTCCACTGAAAACCTATTCACAATTCCACTGTAAACATTAAACATTAAAATATTTGCATAATCATGTGCTCGAAAAATCCTATAAAAAGTGGAAGACTCATTAAGACGGTAGTTTCCAGTCAACTACGCTTCCTTTCACAATTTATTTTGTCCAATTTACACCTTTAAAACTGGGCACAATGCTGAGTACCTACTTTGGCAGGTCTGTACAAAGCAACTGCATCTCCAAAACAAAAATAAAAGTGGGATTCTCGCTAATTAAGATATAGCTTGGTGAAAAAAGTGCAGTAGTAATAATTTTCTGATTAACTTATTTTGATGCCATTTTTGGTGCACTTACTCTTTTACTTAAAGAAAGCTGTTTCTTTACAATGCCCAAGGCTTCATTAAATACCTGTGTTTTCAAATCAGATTAAGTGCCCTTTTTCTGTTTAAAGCAAAGTAAAAAAAACAAAGCATAAGACAGAGGTGTCTTAAGTGCACCCATAAATCTTTAGTTGCCAATTAGATTATTCTCCACAATAAAATGTGTTGTTTAAAAAGAAAGCTATATGGACAAAATAGAGGAAGGGGCACAAAGGAGCAGAGACAGACAAGTCCAGCAGTGGAAAAGTATACACAATATACTTGGCAATGTCAAACCAACTGGGTGCTCTCTATGAGATTTTCGGATTTCTACCCATGGCAGCAATTTGCTGCATGAAGCAGAGATAATGACCAGTATCACCTGCATTCAACAGCAAGCACACTCTGTGGAGGAGAGGGTGAGGATGGGCTCATTCCAGTGTCTGATGAGCCAGAGGACATGGAAGCTCCAGTATGAGACACTGTAAAATAAAAAAATATGTGCCTCCATGTTAATGGCTGTCAATTTTCTTTGGTACTAGAATGCAATGTTACTCCTACCCCAAATCATCTACCCAAACTGGGAAGTTTTGTGTCAAGTCTTTAACATGTTGCAGGTTATCAGCTATCAGGCCACTAAATTGTCTCAAAGATGCCAAGAAACTAGTAGCTTAAGGGGGAGCCTTAAACATCTGGAAACAACCAGTTATAATGCATCCCAGAACTAGGATTTAGAATTTTGGTAATGTTCACACATCAGAACAGGCTATTTATTTCCACTTACATGCCACTTCAATTATAACAAACTCTAAACAACGTGCAGGCCAATTTCAATATATAAAGATTAAATAATAAATAAGATTAACCCCATATCAAGGGACCAGTACTTTGAATATTTTGTATTTTGACCCCTCTGTGCAAGATTTATTTTGTATTTTCCTGATATATACTTTTCTTCCTGGAATTATAGCTAAGCATAATTTTCTTAATTATGGATTTAAAAATTATTTTCCCTGAATGATAATAAAAAAGCTGTAAGTTAATGTCTAGGAACCAGAGGTGTATGGAAGAATTATGGCCAGGCCACTCATGCAAATACATGTAGCAAAGCTTACCTTCTCGGTCCTTCTTTTTCAATCGCTTTCTTCTCCTATCAATCGTCGCTACTTCTGACTTCAGAGACATGTAATATTTCCTGATTTCCTGTAGTTTGTCTTGTAGAAATGAGATTCTCTCTGTGCTGCTCATATTGTCCAATTCATCTGTTTATACAATCAAATATCAGCAAAAACATTTTTAGCACAAGCCTAAAATACTGCACTAAAGTGTGATTGTTATATATATGGGTGGTCCTTGCTTAGCAACCATTCATTCAGCAACTGTTTGAACTTAATGATGGCAGCGAACAAGTGATACTTACAACCAGTTCTTAAAAGGTGGCAGGAAGTAGCAAATGGCAGCCATGTAACATTTTGCTTAACAGCATAGGATTCATAAAATCAGTCAACCAGATGTACTGGAATTCCCATTGCCAAAATTATTCTACCATACTAGTATTACAACTAGTTAAAAAAAGTCAAATAGGAGCAATAAGTCCGATATGTTGCTTATAGTGGTCAAAGCTTATGTTCCAACCTTTAGCACGAGGAAGGAGCCATTCTACCAACTCCTCCTCAATTTAGAACAGAAACAGGAGAATAAAAAGAACGAACTACATATGTTTCTATTTATACAAAGGACTTACTAAGCTGGACAGTCCATTTATACACTCTTGGGGAAACATGATGGTTCTTCTCTCTCTGCTTCTCCTTATCCCCATCTTTGATATTAGGAGATACCACTCTGGCAGGCGATCGATTGAGCTTCTGTGGCTTAGTTACACCAATATGCTTTACAGGAGTACATTTACTTGAGCTGTCAAGGGCAGGAAGGTCTTCACTATCACTGCTTTGCCCTAGAACGAGACACAGAGGTTTATACTGTAGAGCATATATCTTAACGGTAGGAGACGTCAGGTGTTTTCATATATATTTTACATAACAGAGCTACATTTTAATATTGTGGCTGACAAATATAATCTCAGTAATCCTAACATGTCTGCAAGACAGAGCAGTTTCAAACATAGACCACAAGCTACTACTTGATAAGATAGAAAAATGTGGCTTAGACAGCACCATTCGTAGCTGGCTGACCAGCTGTACTCAAGAGTGTGGTCCTTAATAGAACTGCATCTACATGGAGGGATGTGTATAGTGGGATGCCCCAGGGCTCTTCAACATCCTTATCAATGATTTGGACAAGGGGATAGATGGGGAACTCATCAAATTTGCAGATAACACCAAGCTGGCAGGAATAGCCAACACTCCAAAAGACAGGCTTAAGATACACAAGGATCTTGACAGATTTGAATATTGGGTGATATCTAATAAAATGAAATTCAATGGTGAAAAAAGTAAGGTTCTACATTTATGCAAGAAAACACAGCGTTAGGCTGCATTAACAGAGGAATAGAAACAAGATCACGTGAAGTGTTAATGTCACTTTACAATGCCTTGGTAAGACCACACTTGAAATACTGCATCCAGTTTTGGTCACCACAATGTAAAAAACATGTTGAGACTTTAGAAAGAGTGCAGAGAAGAGCAACAAAGATGATTAGGGGACTGGAGGCTAAAACATATAAGGAACGGTTGCTGGAATTGGGAATGTCTACTTTAATGAAAAGAAGGACTAGGACTATCTCAGGGGTTGCCACAAAGAAGAGAGAGTCAAACTATTCTCCAAAGCACCTGAAGGCAGGACAAGAAGCAATGGATGGAAATTAATCAAGGAGAGAAGCAACCTAGAACTAAGGAGAAGTTTCCTGACAGAACAATTAACCTGTGAATGCTCCAACACTGGAAGTTTTTAAGAAGAGACTGGACAACCATTTGTCTGAAATGGTATAGGGTTTCCTGCTTGAGCAGGGGGGGGGGTTAGACAAGAAGGCCTCCAAGATCCCTTCCAACTGTATTATTATTATACTGGATGCTGAGGGGAAAAAACAAAATAATTATATATTTTGTTTCTTTTTACCACTCCCATTTTATCCTCATCATAATATGAAGTATGTTAGACTGAGAATGATATATCTAAAGTCAGCTTTGTTACTATGAATTCATTTGAATTTAGCTTTTGGTGTTCTAATTGCAAACCATTATATAAATCACATCATACGAAAAAATTATAGTTCAAACAAAATCAGAACTGGGGGCATTATTCGTAGCATTTGGGGTGAGACTCCATTAGCTTCCCTAACTTCTTCAAAACTGATTCAATTGCAATTCTCAGTTTTAAGATTTGTTCCGGTTGTACAAACTTACAAAAACTATAGAATTATTTCCAATTATATTTAAAACCTGACACTGAGTAAGGATAAAATGGCAGCCACTAAATAGATTTTTCATGGTCCCGAAATCATAATGTGGAGTTTTTCCAGATTGCCCTGGAATGCTATTTGTAGAAGTTTCTCAGTTTTATCTGCCCAAGCCAATAAGGCCTCTACAGCAATAAGTGTGAGTTGAATAACATTATGTCCAGAGGGCACCAGGTTTGCCTATCCCTGTACTACAATTCAGTTGAAATAATTTCATCTAAATAGAAGACTACAAACAACTTATATTTAAATTCTACATCTGAGTGAAATGTCTCACAACTATTTCTGAAAAGGAGAACTCCAACTAGGATACCATACAGTCATGACAGTTTAAGCTTAAAATGCTAGAACACAGAATACTTGTACATACTTCCAAAAAGTATTACAGGTAGTCCTCAACTTATAATCGTAATGGAACTTGCCTATCGCAAGTTATGACCTTTTTTGTGTCGTTATTAAGCAAACGTGGTTGTAAAGCAGCCACTGTGGTCACAATTATTCAGAGACTAAGAGTCCAACCAGGGGAGAGGGCTACCCTTCCAAAAGGGTCTTTTGTATCTATATGCTTCCTAGATAAATAAATAACCCTTGGCCAACAATGGCTTGCAAAAGCCAAAAGTGTGTGTGTGTGTCTGGCAATGATGTCATAGAATGCCAGGGTCACTTGTAAAAGATTCTCCTGACCAGCAACAGCTCCATATGAATGAGAAAAAAATGTTAAAATTTTATAGGAATGGGTGAATCAAACCACATGATATGATGGGCTTGCGATGTAATGGTTGCTAGATGGATGAAAAATAAAAGATAGTCAGTGTCAATGAAACCTGTTAAATTTATATGCAGATCAGTGTGTCCAGGACTGCCATTTTGCTACTTTCAATTCTACCCCCCCCCTCCATCCTTTCACATTGACCCAGGCAGTCTGATTAATGAGGAAGCTGTGGTCATATAGTCTTGCAAGTATTCTCTTACCTCAAGGCATCATGGATACACAGATTTTCCTGCAGAAATTGGGAGGGATTAAGCAAGCCCCAAATTGCAACTTTGCAGAAGCTATCGTGCATTGTCAGAACCACTAGTAAGGTGAATGGATCAGTATCACATAAACAGCACCATAATGTTGCTATGCTGTTTGGTTTTCAAACTATGAAATAGAACTATATTCTTTTACCTCCAAAGACAAAGAATGTAGATTGTGCAAACCTGCAAATTAAAAAGAAGCCTCAAGCCAATAACTACATATTTTTGTCGTTGCTACGTTGTAGATAGACTATTCTATAATGAATTAATTCTGGTTTTTGTATTCAAGTTGCAAAATGCATGCTTAATTCCATTTTCAAAAAAGAAAAAGTTGGCTGAATGCATAATCCCAAATAATTGTATTATATCAATTTTAAAAAAAATATTTTTTAAAAAAACATCCTTTGGCCAATTTATTATGATCGGTGTCATAATAAAACATGTATCAAGACACAAGGGAGGTTTCAAATTCCCATCAACTATGATAGAACACCAAAATGTTTGGAGCTTTGTTCTGTTAAAGTAACCTATCTGAAATCAGTGTGGTATTGTTGTTAAAGGAAGCCCTCTGGTGACTTTGAATTCTTCTCTCTCAGCCAAGCCTATTTCTCAGGGTGGGTGGGGAAACAACAATAGACTGGTCTATAAACCATCTTGAGCTCTGGAAGGAAGGGTGGGATACAATACATCTAGCAAGAAAGTGCTGTATGTGTCACAAGTAAACATTCCAGTATATTCCAAGCTTGGAACAATTTCTTGTGCACACTTCTATTTACATAGTAGATGATCACAAAGCTTTAGCACTTTACCAACTGACCCAGATGCAGAATTGTGTCCATTCTTAGCAAGATGATACTATAAATTATATTGTAAACCCACAAAATTCTTCTTGAGAGCATTTCCCTAAATGTTTTCAGGGAAATTCAGCTCTGTATACTTATAACACTTAGTACATAAAACCAAAAACCCTTCTGGAAAAAATCTACATACCTGTCCCATTTTTCTCACTTTTGGCTATCGTACTTGCTCGTTTGGGGGTACGCTTCTGCCGCTTTGCCAATGAACTACTACTGTTATCCCCAGGCCTTTTTTGTCCTGAAAGTAAAATGAAAGTTCCCATTCTATATAATATGTTTCATTGTTTAAAATGTAAGTTACTTGTATAAGAACGGAAAAGAATGAGAAAAATTGCCATTCCCAAGAGATCATAATGACAACAGAAAGAAAAAATCTGTAGCAGTCCAAACTCACTGTACAATGAAGGTTAACTTCAGAGAGAAATAAAAATATTGCCCCAAAGGGACGGTAGAGAATGTCAAGAAAGCCATCAGAGTCATCTAATGAAGGACATGGAGAAGAGTGTGGAATGTGCAGCAGAAGACATGCAGAGACAATTCCTGTAAGTACACCTAATGCACTCATAAGGTAAGAGGATAATGTGAATTACTTGGGAAACCACAAGAAAAGCAGAAAAGAAGAATAAAAAGGAAAGTGTCTTTTTAAAAATTTCTTAAATGTTCACTTCTCCCCAAGACAGAATGTTGCCGTCTTGGTGTTGTGGGGTATGTTTGAAACCACCCCAGCGATAATTGCTACTGCAGTTGTGATGTAGAAGTGCTTTACAAGGTTAATAAAATTCTGGGGATTACTTTTACATTTTTTGTTTTTTTACATTGTACTTCCAAGGCATTTGTTCACAGCCTCCTTATCACCTGCTAAAGATGGAGAAACAGTCGTCACTATGAACAGAATCATGACTTCCTGCTCATAGATGCAAGTAGCTGCTAATGCACAAGTTGAATCCTCTTCTAAAGAGAACCACTGGCTATCATACAGTAAAAAAGAAACCTGAGAATATACTTATCAAAATGCTGCAGTAAACACCCAAATTAGGTTTCAATTCAAAGGTTTAAACCATTTATTTAATGGATGCAATATTATTACATATCAGATAGGATAGTTGAAGGCAATCCAAATTGAACAGATATAAAAAAATATCCTTCTATTCTCCCCCTCTCCCAAGTATTTTATTATTGTTAAGTCTTGGTGGGATAAATATGAACTAAAATGTGAAAAGTCCCACATTTGTCTTCAAAAAGTTAAATGAAGAATTAGAAGACCTGGTCCCTGTCTTTTGGTATATTGTAAAATGCATTTTCAATGAATTTAAGTCACCAGAGAAATTTGGTAGAAGGTAGTCCTTACCCTTTTCTCCAATTTCTGGGCCAGTTACACTACAGTTGCTGGAAGCTTCAAACCCATTGGCAGATTCATTCTCGCAAAGGCCTTCTTGAGACTCTTCAGCTATACTGTCCACTTCAATGGTCATGTCACTTTCACTTTTTATGCTTGGTGATTCATCCTGACTGAATGTTAGAGGTGAGGCAACAGAGAAATTTGGCTGGATCACAGAAGGTAACATAGGCGGATTTGAAGTGAGGTTACTATCTTGTTTTTCAACAACCAAACTTTCAGACCCATTCTTATCTTTTTCATCAAGATCATCCAAGTCCACTTCATGGCAAAGGAGAGTTTCAGGACCAATTTGAGGCATGGAGTCGTCTTCCTCTTTCAACGGTGTGCTACGGTTTTCCTCTGAAGAACAATCAAAATGCTCACTTCCCCTAACATGGAGCCGTTGATCTGATTCTGCAACCAATGATGGCATTTCTTCATTCTCATTTTGAAGAGAGTTATCACCAATGAAATCTTTACAATCTTCTGCCCCATAACATTCATTTGCCTTCTCTTCGGTCACAATATTTAGCACAGTCGGCTCACCCTCTTGTCGTACCCTTTTGTCAGGCGATGGCTGTTCTATCACTTTTCTTTTCATAAACTTCTTATCTTTTGCCCAGAGATCTGTTTCATTCTCAGAAGTAGAGCTCAAACCTTTATTTTCCAAGGAAGAAGTATTTAATCGTTCAGATGCTGCAACAGGTTCACTGCTTATTTCTTCTTGATTTAGTAATGTAATCTTTGAATTCTCTAGGAAAGAATCTCTTGTTCGGTTCTTCCGGCCTTTTCCTTTAGGCGATTTCTCCACCTCTCTCTTCACTTCTTCTACTTGATCACTTTTACTACCACAGTTCTGAACCACTTGTTCACTCTCTTCACCTTCTAATTTCAATTTTTCTAAAGGATGAACTTGATTCTGATCATTTTCATTCAGCATATACGAGATCTTTGCAATCTCTTCAACAGGCTTATCAACTGTTTGTTTTTCATTTTCCATTTCAGAACTAACTGGAGAAAATTCTTCATTAATGTTCTTTTCAGAAGCTTCATCTGCTTCACTATCTGATGAAACTGAGTCTATCAAAAACAACATTAAAGGACAAAAAGGCAGAAATTCAGATTGAAATCTACGTAGATGTTGTATTTATATACTACATAGAAAACATATAATGTTCAAAACAATTTTTGCTTTTAGTAATCCAATGAGAAATATTTAAAAACATATAAAATGTTTAAGTAATCTTTATTTACAAACAGCCACAATTTTATTTAGGAGGGAGAAATGTTCTTTAGTACAAAATATATAAAATATCATTTGTCACATCATGTCCCACCTTAATATTTAATAAAGGAAGAAAGGACTTCAACTTATACGGCAGGCCTTACAAACTGAAGGGCTGCATGTGGCTATTCTAAAACCTTTAGTGAAATCCTTTCAAAAGCTGCCACTTAATTGTAATTTCTAATGTAACATAACATTAAATTCTGACAGAATTTCAATATTTCTGTGATAGCCCTTGCACTATGGAACATGCCATTTCCTCTTCTGATATTTTCATAAGCATTGAAAATCATTTTGCTTCAGTGGGTTAGGGTTAGAGTTAGGATCACTGTAAAGCCAAGTACAGCTCTCAGCCCCCAAAACGTTGTGCAACTGTTTTATAAAAGTATTTCATGTAAATGAAAGTGTTCGTTATGACAGTAAGTGGCAAGTAATATAAATTTGATTCTTTCTTCATTGCAAAGAGCACCATATCTCTCTTCATCTAAGGGCTGGCACCTGCCCTTTCCTCCCCCAAATTTGTGAAATTTCTCCCTACAATTTATTTTTTTAAAAATCTCACCATTTGACCCTCTGTCAGAATCCAACATTCCTGAGCTACGTCTTGTTTGCCTGCGAGGCATACCTAAAAAAATTAAAGAGGCTATAATACAGAGGTAGAGAGCAAATGCACTGCATTTAATACTGTTGCAATTATTTAAATACATGTGTTTAAAATGTGCTGATTTTAAAAACAGAAAACCGTTTCTACCTTAATGTGCCTCATTGCCAGCTTGAGCAAAAAACTGATTGCCACACAATAAGTGACATGCAAGCAGAAGTACCTTCTGTCCCATTAAGCAAGGCTGAGCAATCCAGCAGGCTGCTGCGTGCACTTCGCACTCCTGATTTGCTGTCACTGTTAGGAGTTTTAGACAGACCACAAGAGAGATTTGATAGAAGAGTTGATTTCAAAGGAGGACGTCCACGCTTTCCCTTTTGTTTCTCCTCCTCTTTCTTTTCATCTTTTTCACAGTCTTCTTTACTCTAAATACAAATATAAACAATCTCATTGCCACAGGAAGTTTAGACTTTTCCTTCACAGAATGCATGAAAATATCCACTGTAGAGCTTCTGCTTAGCAGAGGATGCAGCCAGTGTCAAGTGACAGATCTCCATTTGTGGAATAGGCATTCCCCAGATCTGCTTTGAAAAAACAAATTAACCTTTTGGAAAATCAGAGTTCTCGGTCATCAAATTTGCAGATGACACCAAGCTGGCAGGAATAGCCAACACTCCAGAAGACAGGTTTAAGATACAGGAGGACCTGGACAGATTTGAACACTGGGCGCTATCTAACAAAATGAAATTCAGGGGTGAAAAAAAGTAAGGCTCTACATTTAGGCAAGAAAAACCAAATGTACAGGTATAGTATAGGGGGTACCTTGCTCAATAGTAGTAACTGTGAGAGGGACCTTGGAGTCCTAATGGACAATCACTTAAATATGAGCCAGCAGTGTGCTGCAGCTGCCAAAAAGGCCAACACAGTGCTGGGCTGCATTAACAGAGGGATAGAATCAAGATCATATGAAGTATTAATACCACTTTACAATGCCTTGGTAAGGCCACACTTGGAATACTGCATCCAGTTTTGGTCACCATGATGTAAAAAAAATGTTGAGACTCTAGAAAGAGTACAGAGAAGAGCAACAAAGATGATTAGAGGACTGGAGGCTAAAGCATATAAGGAATGGTTGCTGGAATTGGGTATGTCTAGTTTAATGACGAGAAAGACGAGGGGAGACATGATAGCAGTGTTCCAATATCTCAGGGGCTGCCACAAAGAAGAGGGAGTCAAGCTATTTTCCAAAGCACCTGAAGGCAGGACAAGGATCAACAGGTGGAAACTAACCAAAGAGAGAAGCAACCTAGAACTAAGGAGAAACTTCTTGACAGTTAGAACAATTAACCAGTGGAACAACCTGCCTCCAGAAGTGGTGAATGCGCCAATACTGGAAGTTTTTAAGAAGAGACTGGACAGCTATTTGTCCGAAATGGTATAGGGTTTCCTGTCTGACCAGGGGGTTGGACTCAATGACCTCCAAGGTCCCTTCCATCATCATCATCATCATTATTATTATTATTATTATTTCATGAAAAAAATGAAGCATCCCTTCAAATTACTCACAAACTTTCAGGAAAAACCTGGGTTTGTCCAAATATTGGGTATTTTCCTGGTCTTTATGCTGATACATTTTCTCTTATTTCAAATACATTGAAAACAGTATTAAGGGAAGGGAAAGATTTTTATAAATTTACTTAGATATGAAAAAATAGTTTACGAACGTGACTTACTTTTGCTTTTTTCTTTTGCTTCTTCTTTGGTCCTCCTTTTTCTGCAGGCCAAATAATCCTATCAGCTTTTACCCATTCATCGTATCTACAGCAAAGGAATATTGCATTTATTTAGGTCATTGCAAAATCACAGAGGTAAGTTTAACTTCTTTTGCAAAAATAACTACAAAAATAACTTGTAACCTGCAACCTGGAATTACAAGAGTTAAACATCCAGAATTCTAAGAATCATCCCTTTAAATTGTAAATCGGAATATAAAATTCTAGCAACTCAGAATCCTGCTTGGATTTAGCACAATAAGCCAGCAGGCAAATAAATAAATCCTACATCCTACTTCAAACTATAGATAAATACAATTGGCAAATAAACAACTTATTGGCAGAGCTTTTAAATTTTCCCATATAATCTGATACAGTTTTCAACCTTTATTCTTTCTCCTTTTTTATGAACAAAGCTATGTGCCTTTAATTAAAAATTGTCAGGATAGCAAGGACAGGACAGATTCCGCCCATGATCTACTATGAAATTATTATTGATTTTGAACATGAACATGTACAGCAGCAAATTTTACAACCCATCTCTACAAGAACACTTCCATATGCAAATTGAAGGGAAGGGCAATTCTCCATGATGACATTTTTTTTTAGGAAAAAAAAAAAACTCATCGTAACTCAGGTCCCCATCTTTCAACAGAGCCAATGTGACAATATTTCTATCTGACCATATTTAAGAATATTGATACTAAATAAAAAAAAGGAGTGGGAGCAGGACCGAAACACTGTAGGCATCTAAAATAGACCTGAACAGTCCACCTTAAACTTTTTACAGAGGGTAGCAGTCAACATTCAGTTCAGGTCACCGTTCTCTTCCTTACCTAACATTCCAGCCGTAATAATGCACTAAATACAAAATCTCTCCGTCATCATTTTCTGTACTTTTAATACTGGCTTCATAGATTTTCTGAGTTTTTCCACGGCCATATTTTACTTTTACTTTGGTTCCTGTAAGACAAGGTTCGGCATCTTCTTCACATTCCTCCCCTTCCGAGTCTCGATTTTCAAGTTCTTCCCTGCTGCAGAATAGACAATGAGATATCAATTAATTAAGAGGCCAAATGTAGACAACTGTGACTTTCCCATTCCTGCCACTCTTTCAGGTCACCTATAGTGATGCCACTATTTCCTTTTAAGGAAAATGACTTGGCATGAAAATCTTGACAGTACCTGCACTTTCCAAATAATGAATCTACACACATCTGATCAATTCCATGTCAAGGATTATGAAATGGCAGTTGCCAGATCAGTCGCAAGGAAAACTACTATCGGCTTTGCATGACTAACTTTTGTTATTGCACTGAAGTTTTCTGAAGTGGTTCCCTACCACTTACGATACTTCTTTTACTTGTGCATATCCTTCCCAAGGGTACTTCTAAATTTGTTATGAAATTAAAAGTTAAAAAACTAAAATCATAATATGTGCATAGCTATCTCTTATACAGCCAATAATTTCATGCAGAAACAGCAATTGTAATGCACTTTTCATTATTTTCTGTAACACAATGACCCAGATAAAGTACTGTAATTAATTTTTATTACGTTTTGCAGGTTTTACACAAAATGATGCATTTTTAATTTACCAGGTATGCTCTCTTAAAATTCACAAAACATTTTTCAATTGTTTGCTCTTTTTAATTTCACTACCTACCCACTCCAAATTTTCATAATGCTTTTCAATACATGGTGTGTCAAGCATATTGGACCTAATCTGTTCATTATCTATAGGTGCCTGCACACCTACAGGTGTTCTACCTTACATCACTCATTCAATAACCATTCAAACTTACAATGGTGCTGAACAAGTGGTACTTATGGCCGGTCCTCATACTTACAACAAGTACTGCATCCTTGCAGTCATGTGATCATACTGCTTGGCTTGCAGTTATAACATTGCAGCATCCCATGGTCATGTGACTGCCCCTTGTAACTTTCACAGCAGGCTTCCAACAAGCAAGGTCAATGGGGAAGCTGGTGGGAGGTCACAAATAAACACCATGGCAACAATAGGCTCTCTTAACAACGGCAACCAAAAATTCTGGAACTACCATCACTAAGTGGTGCAGTGATGTGACATTGTGCTTGATCACCGTGTCACTTAGCAACAGAAATTCCTGTCCTAATTCCTGTTTTAAGTCAGGACTACTTACACTTTGTTTACAATCTTTTCCTAAATTTTAATTGTTCATTTAATTTTGATATGGAGCTTTCTAGTTGCAAAATCCATTAGAACATAACAATGCCAAGCAGATATCAAATCATTCAAACAATACTACATCTGGAAGGTTTTTAAAAAGAGAGAATTTAGAGGTGGGGATGACATTGGAACCCCGTGATTAACCTCTATAATTACACTGAATTTTTAACCTCAATGAAGTACAGTTGTTTCTTGTACCTTAATGAAAAGAATACATAGTTAGCCAGGAATGTATCACAGAATAGGACTGAATATTTGTGTATGGATATATCTGTGCATGTGTAAAGGTCTAGCTGGATTATGTTGTAAAATGGCTACGGGATCATCTATCACAATACACAATTAGTGACACTAAAATTAAATTTAATAAACTTACTGACAGCTCAATCCAAATATATGCCCTGTATACAGATTGCATTTTTGTTCTGCTCTCTGATCCTGAGGAATCTGGTTTCTCAGGCCTGCATTTTTCTCTCTCTTTGAATTAAAAAAAAGATTCCAAAACTTTAATCAATGCATTTCAGTTGCTAAACACATCATGGTATCACTGCAGTACTGAAAACTCTACTTTGGTCACAAGAGTTTGTTTGTTTGTTTTTATTCTAATGTTGCCTTTTGGAAACTTTAAATGGATCGCAAAGCCTGCAAAGCCAAAAGGCTGCTTTTGTTATGAACTTGCCTAGCTGTTTAAGAAGCCATATGAATACAATTAAATGGAAAAGATTAATATAGGTGAAAGCAGTCCCTGGGAGCTTTGAGAGGTCCTTCAATTTCATATCTACTTTGAAAAAAAAATGTCAAGGTGGATTAGCTTAGTATTTTAATATTATATTACAACAGCTGCACAGTTTGGTCTATAGTTTTTTGTTATGCATTTCCCTGAGTCGGTTTCAGGATGATTGTGTATAACTATTAAACAAATACATGTTTTTATTAGAAGGATGAGTGATAATAAGCTACATCACAAGGTTCAAAGAAGTAGTAAATTCTGGACACAGAATAAGTCCTCTCCTTTGTAAAAAAATAAAATTAAATTAAAAATTAAACTCAAGTTGGTAAGCATAATATTCCTGCATCCTATTTTCCACATAACTATCCTGTGAGGGGTGTTGGGCTACTGGCACAAAGTCACCCAGTTGGCTTTCATGCCTGAGGGAGGCCTAGAACCTATGGGGGGGGAGGAACCTGTTTTATGTTAGGTTTATATTTTCTCAGGAATAATCTGCTTGAAGCCATAAACTAACCCACAGGTCCAAACCCAGGAGTGTTCAACTATCATTATTTTTCCCTGAACTAATAGGAAATGGATAGCTCTCTCTTGCCATAATTCTGAACTGTGTGTTTTCAAACCTTTTTTTTTTTAAATTAGGCAGAAGGCCGTGGGTTATCCAACAGTAAAAAAAGCTAAAATGTGATAAAAACATGAAAAGCATAAACCAGAAAGATTCCAGTTCACATCTTATCTCAGCCACAGACTCAGAAGTTTTAATAAAAATAATTGTTCAGCATATTCACTTTAGTAATGTGGGGATAACACAGAGATCTTACAGAGAGATGTGCAACTTTCTCAAGTTTTGGAATACCTTTACTGGCGTTCCAGCCTTTAAAAGTTGTTATCAAATGATCATTTTTATTGTGAGAAAAGGGAGCAATTACTCACATTGCCTCCTGTAGAATAAGACAGTACTCCCATATTACTGTTGCAAAAGAAGTACTCTCCCACCAAAAAATGAGAAAAGGTGTATGTAACGAGGTTCAGTTCCCTTTGCATTGTTGATGTAGCCCTGCTTTCCCCTAAATATACAATATGAAATTATAACTATGCACTAGAATTGCAATGCCTAATTGCATTCTGCAAACATTTTTTATAAAGATAAAATTCAACTATTTGCTCAGAAACAATCCAAATTTTAGGGTTCTGGTAATACAGAATGATGAAGGCTGGTAGGTTTGTTTTGCCATAAGGACATTTTGACACAACATAGAAAACCCAACACAGGGCTTTGTACCTGTCTTCTGACATGACATGTGGGAATTTTATCATAATGCAAAGGCATTAATTAGCATGATGAAAACAACCACAGCCTCTTAAGTCTCCATTACAACTATAAATATTTGGAAGCCCATTACTTGTTTTAGATTAATTACAGACTGACTGTCTGAATATGGATCACTATTAATCCAGGATTAATTTTAATCATACATTAAGGAACAAACCATTTTTTGATGGTTGAAAACCGATGTGTTTCTGTAGAAAAAAAAAAAGCAGGACTACATCATAATGTAGAAAGGGCCATGCTATACATGTAGGTTCCCTCCCCTTTTTTGGTGAAAACTGTATAGATGTTACAAGTTTATCCTTGTATTTTTTAATTTTAGAATGATACAAAATTGCGGAAATTTTCAGCAACCACAGTGGGGTGAAGAGAGAATGCAAGAATTACAAAAAAGAAGGGGTAAAAGAACAGCATACAATCATGGGAATTCTTCAGCCTAAAGTAGTTACACCTAAGTAAGGAAAATGCTAGCACTGTGTCAGGAAGTTCAGACATAAAATTAACTGATGATAGTAATTAGAATCCAGCTATAGTTATAAAGGCTAAAATTATGAATTAATTTTGAAAAGAAAATTAACAATTAAGTCAGGAATTGACAACACAGACCCCTTAATGTGCTTTTATCAGACAATAAAAATGGCCAAAGTCTTGTAAAACCATCAAAGCTTACAAGATTTCACACGAGATGCCCAAGGGACTTTGCTGAAGTTTTACAAAATTTGCTGCTTTTGGCTGGTTTAAAATATGTTAAATTTGTATTTTTTTAAAAAAAAAACCCACATTACTACCTTCTGGCAGTGATTAAGAAAAAAGACTGCTGATCCCAATATAGCTCTAGCCTTGCAGTTAAATTGAGCCTATTAAACAATGACTCCCTCTTTGCACAAGTTACTATTGATTATTATTGCCATGCAATGTTCGGCAACCCAGAAGCCTGAAGAAATTTCCTTGCCTTCTCTCTTCCTCTTCATCGGACTCCCTGTCAGATTCCTCTTCCTGTTTTGCTCTCTTTTCCTTCTGCTTTGGAGTAGTCTTTCTATTTCCAAGTGCCATATCATTTTCAATCTTCTCTGCATTACTGGAAATCTCCTCTATGTCTTTGTTCTCCTTATTGCTGTCTTTTAGCTTATCTTGTATTTTATCCTCTTCACCTTCTTTTTTAATAAGAGACGCATCAAGGATATGTCTTCTTCGTCCCTATGTAAAGAAAGAAATGAAATATCATCCTGTATAAGATGCATTGTTGCTTGCCAGGAAGCCCGATTCCACCACAGTGTTTTTTTTATCTTACTGAAGAATTACTGGCTTACTAAAGAATTAATGGACAACCAAAATAGTTCTCAACAGAAGAGAGTTAGCTTTTCTTTTAGAAATGTAACACAGTGGTTCTCAACCTGTGGGTCGGGACCCCATTTGGGGTCAAACGACCATTTCACGGGGGTCGCCAAACAATGCAGTCCGCCATTTTTTTCCCCCTTTTCCTTAGCTGTGCTACTCCCTTGTATTCTATTGGCTTTTGAAAGCCAATAGAATAGACTCTCTTGAATAGAGTAATTCTATTGGCTTTCAAGAGCCAATAGGAATTGTCCAGGCTGTCTCTGCCCTGCTGAGCCCGCCAAAAGTCCCATTCTGCAAACGGTGCTGCACCAGTTGAGTAGTCCTCGACTTACAACCGGCTGAGTAGTCCTCGACTTACGACCGGTTGGGGGTCGTGGCATTAAAAAGGTTGAGAACCACTGATGTAACATATAAATTCTGCTGCTTAACAGACAAGAAAAGAATACAAGAAATTACACTGTGGCTAATCATACACAGCTCTAATGTGACATGTTTGATTTATGACTTAGGATGTTTTATGATTACTTTTTAAAATAAAGCATTGTTAAACTTTGATTTACTACAATACACGAACCAAGCGATAGTATGCAAGTCAACCTTTTTCAAAATGAAACAAATATTTATCATTTTCTCAATGCTCTATAATTTGATACTTGAACAACTGCTGGAAGAGCAGCAATAGGAATAACTGGGTCATATTAAGTGCAGTAGCAGGAAATACAGAAGTAAAGTGAAGTGTACTTGCTCTTACAAATCCCTATGAAATCTTTTTCTCTATAAATTCGGTACCAACTCAAATTGTGAACTGGAATCATAGATTTATTGAGAATACATTACATTTCATTATATCCTGATAAAGTTAATGCAATAAATAACTCAGATGACAGATTTCATAGAAAGGACATTCCTCCAGCACGAAAACAAGGGGGTAGTACTTTATCTCATGCTGGGGAAGGCCTGTCTACAGGTAGTTGTTGGCTTACGACAGCCATTGGAATTGGAATTTCTGCCACTAAGAGATGCAGTTATAAAGGGCAAGCACATCACTTAGTGACAGACATCCTAGTTGCTGTTAACTGAATCCCACAGCTTTAGGAGAGGCAACTTTCCATAGACAAATTTGTTAAATCTGTTCAGCCATCCTGAGGATTTATTATAGGGCAAGCGGAAATACTGAAAATAAATAGTGGAAATAAAACTACATTTGAAAAGGCTGGACAAGTTCAGAGTGTTACAAGAACAAACAATATTTGAGGAGAATGAGAAGTTAGTGAAAGGACCTGTGTTCTCAACTAAATTACAAAAGTCACTGCTTATTTTATCACAGCTTTTTTTACAGTGCAGTTGCTTACCCGTTGAGACCTCTGCTCAAGTTCTTCTTTTTCGCTTTCACTGGTACAGTTGTTTTCTTCCAGCTCATTCTGAACCTCTACAGGAGGCATCACAGGCTCTTCTTTCACCCTTTCCTCCATTTGCTCTTCTTTTTTCTGTACTACAATTATTTTTGGTTCATTGTGGTGGATAGTTCGGAACTGAATATTTGCAGAACGGCAGTATTCTTCAAAACCATAAAGATACCTACAATTTTTAAATACATATTAATTATGGGATATCCTTGAAAATAATTTGATTCAATATAAAAGGGAGGAAAATGATATTGCCATTAGGTGTATACTATAAGCCACCTAACCAAACAGAGGTAATAGATGAACTTTTTGCTAGTCATTTTAATTAAGGTATGTAGAAAGCACATCACAATAGTAATGGGGGACTTTAATTACCCTAACATCAACTTGGAGACAATCTCTGCACTAAGTGGAAGATCAAACAGATTCCTGACAAACCTAGCAGACAACTTTGTCTCCCAAAAAGTAGAGAAGGAAACTAGGGGATCAGCCATATTGGACTTAATTCTCACTAACAGAGATGAAATGATGGAAGATGTTGAAACCACAGGAACCTTGGGGGGAGGTGACCATGCAATATTGGAATTCAACATTATGCAAGCACAAGCAATAGAACACAGTCAAACTAGAATCTTGGACTTTAAGAGAGCTAATTTCAATAAACTTAGAGAGGGCTTGGGAAGGATTCCATGGATGAGAATCCTCAAGGGGAAAACAACTCAAGAAGCTTGGGAAATTTTGAAAAGTAAGGTTATAAAAGCCTAGTCTAGCACAATACCAATGAAGAAGAAAAATAACAGCTCTCAAAAGAAACTAGCATGGCTGCATAAAGAACTCTCTGATAAATTGAAAGACAAAAAGGACAAATATAAAAAGTGGAATGAGGGGCACATAACTAAGGTAGAATATCAGCAAATAGCCCAAGACTGCAAAGATGAAGTAAGGAAAGCTAAGGCTCAAAATAAACTAAGGCTTGCAACAAAAGTAAAAAAAAAAAACAAAAAAACAGAAAAGAGCTTATTTTAACATATAAAAACAAGAAAAAAGTTAAGGAAATGATTAGTCCACTAGTGGGAGAAAGTGGCAAGGTGACAAGCAACAGGGAGAAAGCAGAACTATTTAACTCGTTTTTTGCATCTGTCTGTACACAAAGGGAAAAAACAGTCCAACCTATCAAAAACAGTACCATAAAAAAAGATTAGAAACATAAGATAGGCAAAAAAATGGTATGTGAGCACCTATCCACTCTAGATGAGTTCAAATCACCAGGACCACACGAACTACACCCCAAGGTTCTCAAGGAACTGGCAGATGTGATCTCAGAATCACTGAACTATATCTTTCAAAGATCCTGGAGCACTGGGGAACTACCAGAGGACTGGAAAAGAGCTGATGTAGTTCCCATCTTCAAAAAAGGGGGGAAAATAGATCCAGGAAACTACAGACCTATCAGCCTGACCTCAATACCTGGGAAGATCTTGGAAAAGATAATTAAGCAACAAATCAGCAAACACCTAGAGGCAAACAAAGTCATTACCAAAACCCAACATGGGTTTGTCAAAAACAGATCATGCCAGACAAATCTTATTGCATTCTTTGACCAAGTGACAAAATTAGTGGATCAGAGGAACGCTATGGATATAATTTACTTGGACTTCAATAAGGCATTTGATAAAGTAGACCACAACCTATTACTTGATAAGATAGAAAAATGTGGGATAGACAGCATTACCACCAGATGGATTCGTAGCTGGCTGAGCGGCCGTACTCAGCGTGTGGTCCTCAATGTAACTGCATCTACATGAAGGGAAATGTGTAGTGGGGTACCCCAGGGCTCTGTTCTGGGCCCAGTGCTCTTCAACATCTTCATCAATGATTTGGATGAGAGGATAGATGGGGAACTCATCAAATGTGATGGCAGGAATAGCCAACACTCCAGAAGATAGGCTTAACATAAAGAAGGATCTTGACAGACTTGAGCACTGGGCGCTATCTAATAAAATGAAATTTAATGGTGAAAAAAGTAAGGTTCTACATTTAGGCAAGAAAAACCAAATGCGCAGGTATAGGTCAGTGCTTGCAAACCTATGGCATGGGTTCCAGAGGCGGCACTCAGAGCCCTCTCTGTGGGCACACACAACATGCCCCGGAGATGGCAACCGTCCTTCTTCAACCAGCCGCCCGCTAACTCGCCGAGGTCCCACGTGGCCGGATGCATCCTAACACTGCTGGTTTCCCTCCCCCCTGTCCCAACCCTCCTGCCCTTGTATGCTCTCCTTTTCCTGGGCATGACCCACTGCATCGCCTCCTCAGCTGGCCATCAGCTCGCCGTCCAGCTCAGAGGCGGCTTCTCTGAACTACTGGCAGCGAGCTGCAGAGCCCCAGAGTGCGCCGGTCGAAGGGCTGGCAGGCTGTGGCTGCTGACATACACTATCTGCCCCCATGTGCTTGCTGGCCTCTGTGTGCGGGGCCCAATGGTGTCAGGCAGCCGCTGCACCGGCCCCCGCCTTGCCTTGCGACAATGGCACCCCTGCCCTGCCTCACCTTGCCTCGCCTCTCCCCACCTGCCAGAGACTCCCTGGATCTCCCCCAACCCTGCCTGGTCCCCACAGGCGTCCCTCCCCAGGAGCAACATCAAGGTGACCATGCCCACCTTGGCCACATCCACCCAGTGCCATGACCACCACAGCCACGCCCACCCAGTGGGCCACGCCCACCTGGCACCCGGCGATAAATCAGTGGGTTTTGGGTTGCAGTTTGAGCACTCGGTCTCTAAAAGGTTTGCCATCACTGGTATAGGTGGTACCTTGCTCAATAGTAGCCAATGTGAGAGGAATCTTGGAGTCCTAGTGGACAATCACTTAAATATGAGCCAGCAGTGTGCTGCAGCTGCCAAAAAAGCCAACACAGTGCTAGGCTGTATTAACAGAGGGATAGAATCAAGATCACATGAAGTGTTAATATCACTTTACAATGCCTTGGTAAGGCCACACTTGGAATACTGCATCCAGTTTTGGTCACGATGTAAAAAAGATGTTGAGACTCTAGAAAGAGTACAGAGAAGAGCAACAAAGATGATCAGGGGACTGGAGGCTAAAGCATATAAGGAACGGTTGCTGGAATTGGGAATGTCTAGTCTAATGAAGAGAAGGACGAGGGGTGACATGGTAGCAGTGTTCCAATATCTCAGGGGCTGCCACAAAGAAGAGGGGGTCAAGCTATTCTCCAAAACACCTCAAGGCAGAACAAGAAGCAACGGATGAAAACTAACGAAAGAGAGAAGCAACTTAGAACTAAGGAGAAATTTTCTGACAGTTAGAACAATTAATCAGTGGAACAACCTGAGCAGGGGGTTGGACTAGATGACCTCCAAGGTCCCTTCCAACTGTATTATTATTATTATTATTATTGTTATTGTTATTATTATTATTATTCCCATCAAATGATATATCCTCTTTGAAATCCCCACAACCACCTTCAAAAGTAAAAGATAAAAAATTAATCTGGGGCTGTTGACACTAGCATCTCAAGTTGCCATCCCCTCCTTTTCAATTCTCTGATTTCTGAGTTACAAGAATAATTTTTACTAGGATACACGAGACTTGCAGGCACTTCACTTGTTATTAACTCTATTGTTGATTGGATTACCGTTTTGCTTTTTCCGAAATTTTAATTTGTTTAAAGAAAGTTAACAATCTACAAGTGAGTTTGGCTAAAACATGAAAAAAAGTTCGAATAAATATAAATGTTGCTGCACAAAGGAGTTACTGTTAGTGAGATGCCATCATTAGTGCCTATCCCAGTCCACTCTGCTTGTTACATTCCTTTGAATCCAGACTAATTTGATCATTTGAGAGGGAGTTGCTCAAATAAAAGCTTGACAAAATGTACTCAATTCTTGTTCTTCAACCAGTTCATATCCAAACACAAATTAAGAAAGAAAAGAGACTACTCACTTTCTATAAGCAGTTTTCACATTGTAGGAAGCAGCTGAATTCAAAATAGGAATGCCTAGGTCCATATAAATTTGTTTCCATACAGCTCCACTATCAATCTTGGAAGAAAGAATGAGAGAAAATAAAGCATCTTGGCATCTTGCTCATTTGAAATTAAATAGCATGAACTCAGAATAAATTTAAGAAATGTTATGCTTACATTGTCACACCCACCCTGCTGATATACCAGTCTGAAAAGTTTGAAGAGGTTAAGATCCTTATAGCCCAGAACAGGTGGTTTATTGATAGAAGTTCCTAATTAATGAAAACATGAGGACAGAATATTATGATGCAAATGTTTTACATTAGAGTACACCATGCATTTCAACTTGCAGAATCACGATTAGTACCATATATAAAATGTTATGTGTAATTGCTATGGTAAATAGATCATTTTAAATGTATATTTAGAAATAGCAATCCATTTCTTAAATTGTATTATTACAAATACTAGAAATTCCAATGTGGATGTAAGTGAACATAGACATAGATGCTATCACCAAGTACAGGTAGTCCTTGACTTACAACTATTTAACAACACTTTGAAGTGATGGTAATGTTGGAAAGAGTGACTTATGATCCATCCTTGCATCAATCATGTGGTCAACATGATCACAATTTGGATGATTGGCAACTGGTTTTTATTTATGGTTGCAATGACTTACAGTCACATGATCGCAATTTTCTAACTTCCCAGCTGGCTTCAAATAAGTAAAGTCAATTGGGGAAGCCAGATTTAATTAACAACAGCATGATTCATTTAACGACCATGGTAAAAATAACTGACCATGGTCATAAAATTGGGTCTGGCATGATGACTTGCTTAATGACTGAAATTCTAGTCCCAATTGTGGTCATAAGTCAAGTACTCCAGGATCTCTTTTTTGTGCATGAAATAATATTTTAAAAATATACAGTAAAAGGACTAAATCTTCAATGACCCACACATTTCAGAGAAATAATAACCCCAATCTAAAAGTAACAGGAAATGAATAAATTGTATTTTGTCATTATATTAATTATCGCCATATATATTATTAGAAAGTTGGTGGAAAGGGGCGTTGTCTTACCTGAATGCCTTTTCTCAGCATGGAAGGAATGTAGAATCCACGCATGGGTATTAGAAGTCCTCTAGCCCAATCAGACTAAAGAATCAAAATTGCCACACCCCTGCTGGGCCGGACCATGCCCCAATTTCTTTTTGGTCTCAGCCCAGAAGAGACGTGTGCACTTTGGCTCCCGGTTTGAGAAAAAGACTTAGACCAGGTAGTATTTGCCTTACTTTTGCGTGGATTCTTCATTCCCTTGGCCGGATAGTCAGCGCTGGGCTCAGCGCTGAACTAACTGGCTATCAGCTTGCTTTCCTTGCCTTCAGCAAATTCACCCGCTGCTCAACTGATCGGCGCGATCGGAAACTAATGCTTATTGGAACTTCAAGACTTAAAATCCTATCAGTGGAAAATATAACTTTTGGATATTTACTGGTAAGTGAAAAGGCCAATTGAAAAGTTCAGAATAACAAAGCCTACCTAAACATCATTTCCCACCTCAAGAACATATAGTGCTAGGAAATTACTCCACATTTTGTTATCTATAACAATTTATGTAACCATTCGTCACAAATAGGCAAAGTTTCAGATGACCAATAAGTGCAATTAATATTTTGGGAACTAAGAACAAAAAAATGAATACCACAATATCTCAATTTGGGAGGACAGAGGTTGGGGTGGAGTTTCTTTGTTGATAAACTTGAATCAAGCCTATTACAAAGACTAGGATCCAAAGCAGTTCCTAAAGGAGTTGGCAGGCTGCAAGCTATATATATAAGCAAATTAGACCACACTACCTCTGTCTTCCATAAACTTGTAAAGCTGCTGGAGGAAATTGTCCCTCTCTTCAGGATCAAGCTCTTCCTCAGGCTTTTAAACATAAAAAAGACACATTGTAATACATATCTGAATAGTACATTTTGTATCTATAAACAAAAGTAAAACTGACAAGGAGGATCAAATTATTCATAAAAATCCAGTAAGTTGATATGGCACATGACCCCAGCCAACTACCAAGTTCCTACCAACTTGAAGGAAACGTTAAAACTGTACTAAGTTTCAAGAGCACATAGCCCTGAAAAGGTAAGACTATCATGAAGCCACTAAAAGTATATGTTAAACTAACATTCAGTTTTCTACAGTTACTGAACATATACCCATAACATTTTTGTGTTAATTCACTTTCTCCAGACATTCCAATAATTCCCTTGTTATTTAATGTTGGTATTTACCATTCCCTAAAGTATATTGGCTATGAATTAGCCAATTCCATCAAAATATGGCAAACATAAAATTCCATTACAACGTATTTTCAAAAAACTTTTTTGAATCTCTTCTTATTGTACTTTTATCAGCCCTTCCTTCAAATGGCTCTTCAATGAAGCATAGAATTTCTCTTTGCCCACTCTAACCATATAATACTGTATGTGGACTGGTTAGCTAACTGGATGGGGAATAAGTGGGACCGTACTCTTATTAGGGAAGATAGGGGTGACTTAACTCTAGTTCACGTTTGGCTATCTAGCAACCATGTATGCTATCACAGCAACTTGTTTAAATTCTTTGAAAGCGGTTTCTAGAATAATTGAAATAGCTGAGTTTGTCTACTTTTCTTAAGTAATTTTCTTATCTAATCCTAGCTGGATGATTCCCATACTTCTCTTAATGCAGATCACTTCATCAACATTAAAAGCTTCTGAGCAACAACACATGAAATAATGCATTGCAGGGGTTGGCAGGTTATTGCCTTGAGGCCATGTAGCACATGTAACTCTACAGATGGCCTCCATAGGGCCTAATATTAAATAAAATTAACATTTTAATTAGATCAGTGGTTCTCAACCTTTCTAATGCCGCGCCCCCATAATACAGTTCCCCATGTTTTGGTGACCCCCAACCACTTATACATCACCGGGTGCCAGGGGCGTGGCCAAAGGGGAAAAAATGGCGGACAGCCTTGTTTGGTGATCCCCATGAAATGGTCGTTCGACCCCAAATGGGGTCCCGACCCACAGGTTGAGAACCACTGAATTAGATGGATGAAATTGTATTATCTTGCAAAATGTTAAGATGTTGATGCTCCTGCTTGAAATTATTGCAAGATACCCCATGATTTTGCTTTTCTAAAAAGAAACAGCGGCATCTGTATTATGAATCAATAGCAAATCTGTTATTTCCAAACACAGATTGGGAATCAATGCGTATCAGAAATAAAAAAAACTGGTTTTCATAGTAGTATTTTACTCCTATAGTCCCTGTCCTGAAATCCTGCATAATGTGGTTTTATATATAATCAAAAATGGTCCTAAGATTAATTTTTGCTTCTATATTATTGTAAATATATTATAAAAATCAATATTATTTGAGTTGCAGTAGACATTTTGCTCAATATATCTGATAAACCTCAGTGGCATCATATGAATTTCCTAAACTTCATGTCTGCTGATGCATGATTACTGATGCAAAATGTAAGCAGGCATTAAGTTTAGGAAATTTGTATGATGCCACCGAGGTTTATCAGATATATTGAGCAAAACATCTACTGCAACTCAAATCAATATTGATTTTTGTTTGTTAAAGTGGTACCTGAGATTAATGTAAATTTGTCAAAATTTTAAGGATCACTAAGGTAACCTTATATGAGCAACACCAGAGAACTAAATCCTAGGCTTTCGGTTGCTTTCAGTAAAATCAGTGTATGTGAAATTCTGAATGTGTGCCCATTGGTAATTTGATTCTTTTCATTCAAGAGGAAACTGAACAAAGACAGGCAAGACAAATGTGATTTGGAGCTGCAAGTGTATAAAGGTTCAATTCTCTGTATTTTTCCAGAAAAGTATCTTGCAGAAAACAGCCTTATCCTTAAACATGTTTATTTGGAATAACTGTGTACACAAACTTGATCTCTCTGGTAAGAAAATAAAGTAGGTAAAGTGCTAAGATATTTAAATTACGATACTGCATAAAAATCTCTAGACCAGAGCAATCTAAAATTAAGTTTGCAACAGAATAAAAATACAAAAGCAGTAGAGAAGCATAGATTTTTGTATCAAATACTGAATGTACAAAAAAAAATCTGTCAAAATACAGCAATTAGGCTTTTAGGATACTAGATCACAAATAGGATGACACTAATATGTCCTCAACAATGTCCTTTTGAAGTTATCATTGTTTCAATTAACTTGGTATGGTAGTAAGCCAGACATTTGAAAAATCAGATAATACAAATGAAGTAAATGTATAGTTGCTTCTTTGAAACATTTATGTTTATATACCCTCTAACAACCAAGCTGTATTCAACTTCAGTAGCATTCTTCAGGTACTGTTTTAAATTAATAAAGGAATTGTTTCTTTCTAAAATTCCAGATTAGAAGGCAGTGGGATTAACAAAAGAAAAATCATTAGAGATTTACTGTAGTCTAATTTTTGTTTGTTCCTTATGCAAAACAAGAACTTCTTACACATACAAACCTTTATATATTATGAAGTAATTTGAGCAACTGAGTAATTACATTTCTTCATAACTATTTTAAATGAGACAAAACCTTTGTTTAGATTATGGAATATGGTTACAGCTAATATGCACTTAAATTCAAATAGATTGTAAATGAAAAGACTGGAAAACAATACATTTTTGCTTCTCTACAAAAAGAAAATGTAAGAATCAGTAGAGGACACCAGATACTGTGAGAGATGCTATACACAATCTTGCTTGAAGTATGAAAGAACACATTTATATTAACTAAATTCATATATGGGTAAGTATGCTTTATGCAAAAATGTTCATAATACTATAATGTTCATTTTAGAAGTCACAATGTATATGCAATTATATGTTACAATGTTCTAGAAAAGTTATAATTTAGGCTTTGTCAAGAAAAATGCAGTATTACATTTGTTAATGAAATATTATTTGAACTGCTGGACAGACTTGAACATGTTCAATGCAGAAAAAATTTCATCCAATGTACATGCAACCACCTTTCTGCAAGGACACAAGAGTCAAATGGATATTGCAATTTTGGGCTGCAGTACGTGTACATTTTAGAACGCACAGGGCAGTGAAAACACTTTAAATCAAATGGAGATGGAAAGTCTTGGGTTTTTTTTTATATTTACAAGGTTTTAAGGAACTGCAAAGCTTAATTCTTAGTTAGCTTTGTGTATTTGATTAACATACCTTATGTGGGAACAAAACTAAACAGTTTTAGTAGCAATCCCCTAACATCAATTAGATGAAATAGTCTGAACAATATATTATGTTCCAATTGTTGGTAGAATTATTTTCAATCTTAAAACACTAAGCTAAGAGTTTTATTAAATTCAAAACATAATGCTACTATGGTGTTGAAAATGAGCCATTAAAAATTGAAATTAACAATATATCCTTGCCCAGAATAAGAATCCTAATAAACCATTGTACCTAATGAGAAATGAAATAATAAGAAATGAGAAATAATTTAAAGAAAAAAAATCAGAAATGTTTGCTCTACAGAAAAGTGCTTTAACTCTCAGAATAAAAGCATTTTAAATTTTACACTAAATAACATAGACACATTCTGACTCAGTATGAAGTCCAACAGATCTGTTTTACAATAGATGCCTAATGTTATCAGACACAAACTTGTTTTATATTTCAAATAAAATTCTAGTTATTTAATCCTGGAATTAACTACTCAACCTCTCAAGAAAGAGATGAGTTTTAGTTAAAAGAGAATCATAACAACTTTCAAAACTAATAACATTTCAAGATGAACGCTTTCAATTGTGACTAAAAAGCAGTACATTAAAGCTTATCCAAATTCACATACTGTATCTGGATAAGGACAAAAACGAGAATCCCTTTTGGTTTGGGTTAAAAAGTATGTTAATGCACAGTAGTTGCAGAAAATTTGGTTTTAAAATACTGGGACAACTTTGGGATCCTTGTTATATACAGCTTTTGCAAATCACATCAGACAAGAGACATGCAATATTAGGTGTTATAAATATTCCATATAAGCATATTTCTGGATAATTTAGTGATCATTTCCTCAAATTTATTTTACATAATCTATTAAATACATTTTTAATGACCACTATTACAATATTCAACAGAAAGTAGCTTATGTTTCAACAAGGAAGTCCTGAGTTCAAATTCCTAATCATGTTGAGTACATTAAAAAGTAATGGGAAGGAGGCTGCTGCTGCTATAGAATCTCCATTTATTTCAAGAGGACAGACAGGAGTCTTAAATAAACTCTACTGTAATAAGTAAAGCAATAATTGCTAGATTAGACCTAAGTCTTTTTTATCTAAGAACTGGTCCACTATTCCTGGACTAACTGCATTGTCCAAACATGCAATAAAATAAAAAAAATTGTACAGGGGCTTCCTCAAATATTGTAATGGTTTAATAAAGAATTATATATACCCTTTCAAATGTGAAACATAGATTATTTTTTTTAAATTAAGCTACAGAAGTTGCAAGGTCTCTAACTACGTACCTAGTGGCTTCCCTATTGCTGCATTTTGCTTGCTAAAAAAAATAAAAACCATTTTGAATATTCCTTTCAGATGTGGAAAACAAGAATGGAGATGGAGAAAGACAAGAAAGTGTTAAAAATTTAAATTATAAATTTAAGCATTGAATATATTGATTTTTATGCTAACAGTATAAAAATATACCACTGTTTCCACACCTATATTCATCTTTTTTGAGGAAATAATCTCCACTGCTTCATAAAACAATAGATTCAGCATTTTTTTCTAGTTATCTTTTTTTTTACTTTACCTTCCGATAATTGCCAAATAGTTTATTTTACTTCAAATTAAGTCTGAAAATATCTACAGGAATGCCATTTTAATTTTTTTCCCAACAAAGCTCCTCTCCTCCCCTTCTCTTTTGTTTGAAAAGCTAAAGCTCTTTAGAACGAAATAACAGCTTCAAGCAACAATATTTAGATTTTTACAGACTAGACTTCTATTCACTTACCTAAAACAGCAGGATATTTACAAATGCTACCACTAAAAGTCAGTGCAGTCTGCAACAGTTCACACCCAGCAAAATGTGGCCTATTAACTGTGTATAACAACATGAGGGAGGGGGAGGGGAAAGGGTGAGATTCCACATTCCACAAACGATCAAGCTCTACACTTTGTTCAGTATTAGCATGTTTGCGTGGAAAGTGACTCCATTTTGTTAAAAGCCATTATTTTATAACACAGTAAAAGCTATAACCAGATTCCAATTGTCGTTTTGCAAAGGAAAGAAAATACATGTATCACGAAAATGCCGGAAAAGAAGACCAGAAACTTACAAAATCTAAACCCAACCCTTCTTCTTCAAAGCCCATATCCACGGCAGACTAAGTAAGTTACAGCCTGAATCCACAAATAGTCCTTACCCAGGTGCTGCATTTTCTCTCAAATGTAAAATGGTTACATTTGCTTTTCTACCTAATCAGCTCACGGTGCCTCAATGCACTTCAGCCTAACTTGCAAATATTTGCGTTCCTCCTTTTGCTGCACTGAATCCAATATTATGCAGCATTGCTTACATTCTCTTCCATGTTAAAAAAAAAATCAGACATTACATGAAAGGAAAAGAAAGAGACAGCCCATTTCAAAGCATCTGGTAAGCCTCCCCGGGCAGTCTGCCAAGCCTCTGCTAAATCTTCCCCTTCTCTGAGCATGCTCATTTGCAACCAACAGTGCATTACCATGGCAACCCGGTAGGCAGCCTCTAACCATGAACAGCCATTCTGTTTTCAGCCTTATTAAGACCACAGACTACCAGGGGGAAGTGAAAGGGAAACAAGATTGGACTTTAACTCATCCAAGTTCCTCTCCTTTTCTGTTTTCAATAGACTTAACCTTTAAGGCTTAGATGCACAAACTCAGAAAGTTCCGGGTTTTTTTTGTCACCCTAGTGTTTAAAAGCACAATCTAAAAGTATGTAAACTGCAAAACTTTGATAAACAAGGTAAAGAAAAAAAACCCGACTGCTTTGTAAAAAAAGAGGTATAATATTTTATCATTACTTTCTGAAGAAACAGCTTTGGCTTTTCTCAACGGTATGAAGTTTAAGATGTGTGGACTTCAGTTTCCAGAAATCCCCAGGCAGCATGCTGCCTAGGGAATTCTGGGAGTTGAAGTCCACAGGTCTTAAAACTTGCTGAGATCGAAAAACACTGCTCTAATTATCCACTCACAATTCCTTCATTTAGAGAGCAAGTACTGAAAAGTTAATGGCATATACGGCTTCCCTATATGCATTATAAAACTCAAAAATGATGCAGGGAGCAGATTTTCCAAATACCCTCAGGATGGATTGCAATAGCTATTCACATAATTCTTCACCCTCACCCTAGAAGTTCCAGTCCCAAAACATATCTACACAAGGATAGATAAGCTATATGGTGTAAAGAAGGAAAGGGAATAAAAGAATGTTCACCAGCCATGTGCCTTGAAATACCATGGGAGGTTTTTTTGGAGGGGGAGGTGACACACTAGAAGCATGTATAGAAATAATGCTTTGCTGGCTATCACTAATCAGAGAAATAGAAAGTCACTTTTAAATTGGGATTTAAAAGCTCTTCACAAGCCCTATCACTTGCCAGAAATGGAGGAAGATTAAGTTTAACCAGTAGTGATCAGATGTCCCACTTTAAACTCAGGACTCACGACAGATATAAGAAGGCATCCCAGTAGTTCTTTTTAAATCAGAAGTTCATCCTGTAGTCTTGGTTACAATGAGTAAAATCTGTTTTCTGAATACTATATATTAGTATGAAAGCACGTAATTTGACCCTATCTTCCATATGAAGGTGCTGAGGATAAGACATAAACTCTCACATGAATTATACCAAGTGAGTTTTGAATTAGGATGATCAATGCAGGGGTGAGGGTTAGACATAATCAATGTAAACTACATTTGGCAGAATTGCTTTTCATACTACTGTATGGTAAAAAGGGTCCAGCTATGAAAAATATTAAACAGGTTAAAAGTCTAGAGAGAATCGAAAGAATCATACTTCTTCACCAAAATATTATGTATAAAAATTATGGTACATTTTTCTTTAATAAGAAAAACTGGAAAAAAAATCCAATGAGTATTATTTAAATGTACAAATCCAGAATCATGAATGCAAAATGAAAAAGATCTAGGAGAATACACACATGAAGTTCAATTCTTGACTCCCAGAAAATGTATTAAGAAAAATCACATTGTTTTGCCATAAAGCTGATAGATTATACAGTCAAAATATAAAAATTAGTAAATATAGAACCTACTCAGATAAAAGAAGTGCATGATAAAAGAAGTGCATTATAGGAAAAAATACTTAATTCTAGGTGTAAAATTAATGAAATTAAGAAAAGGATATTGAACATCCTGCCTTCCTGTCTCTCAAAATGCACTCAGTTAAAAAAAAGTTCAGATTATTGTAAGATTCATTTTAGTTTATATTTTCACTCTGTATACACAATTTTAAAATACCATGTTTAAGTTGTATCATAGTGAGCAATTTTATGATGTACAATATGGGCCTTGTATATCTTTCAAGTATTTAAAGCTAAATTCAGATTTTTAAAAAATGATTTTAAAAATGCTACATCTTTACAATACTGCAAAAGGCAGGGCAATCTTGCCTATACTGCAAAGCCCAGGGCCAAATTATTTGATAGACAAATCCAGATAGCTCTTATCCTGTTGGCTTTTCATGAAAGCTCTGGCTATTCTTTCAGAGTTTGGGGCCAGGAAGTTAAGTGAGCTTTGTTGGTTGATTTGTTTGGTTCCAGTATTTGGACTGTGGAGTCCTTGGTGTTCTTTGAGCTTTGTTGTTTGCTTGCAAACATCTCATTACCAACTTGATCATCAGCGCACTGATTAATTAATGGCACTGATGTTACTTAGTTGGATAATGAAACATCTGCAAGCAAATAACCAAGTTCAGAGAACACCCAAGACTCCAGTTACCTGAGCTAATACAATATACTTTTACACCCAATTAGAGAACAGAATTCAGATATATTTGTGCCCCCATGAAATCTGAAGCACCTTTTTAGAATCAAATAGGAAGCATTGCATAGCTCTGTAATATTCTGTAATATATTTCTGTAGTTCTCAGAAAGGTATTTAAGTGGAGGAAAGATCCCAAGTTGAATGTTTGTTTCTTATTCTTTTTACTAACCTCTTTTGAGGCACATAATCATTATTTTTCTTACTACTGGAAACCCAGCATTCCTTCTTTGGAAAGTTTACTAAAATATCACTGTTCGTATGTCTTTCACTGTTACTGTGCAAAAAACTGTCTTCCTTCAGAAGGTGTCAAGCTTCTCAAATGAGTAGTGATAGAAGAATCTGGAGGTTTTTCCTATTTCTATCATTCATTAATTGGTTATAGATGCACAAAAGAATTCATGACAATTATGGATTATTGATAACAAGCAAGCTTCCAAAATTATTTGTTCGAGAAGAATCCAAAGAAGGAATCCAGACTCAAATGTTCACATTAAGCTTTCTATGATAATTTAAATTCCTAATGACTGTGAACTGCTCCCACTTGCAGAAAAAGTTAAATATGAGAAATCAGGAAGTAGGCACCATCAAGCTAGCTCATTACCAATAAGATGGTTTTCCAACAACTTGGCTTAGCTTTTTTGCACAATTTCAGTCAGTATATCGGCTTTTTTACTTTCTAATTCAGTTTTCATCATCGATGGCAAACATAACTGAACACACAAACCTTGTTTTTTTAAAAAACAGGTGCTCAGCTTCCTTCAACTTTATATCCTCCAGATGTATCAGATTAAATTTTCTAAAGTTTTGAGCCATATGGGATTTCCAGAGAATCTGGATAATGCTAGATTGAAGAAAGTGAAAGCTGTGATTTTTTAAATAATGCATTTGAGGAGCAGTATTATATAAGGGACAAATAATAGTGGCTATATATTTGATTAAGACATATCAAACAAAAAAGCTAACATGCTTACCACTACATCTTCCTCTTTTTGTTCTCCCTTTTCTTCTTCATCATCATTACTTCCCGTCTCTCCTGCATCTTCTTCATCACTGCTGGAGGATTCCAAGATTTCACGCATGTCCACCCTCCAATTAGAAGGAATAGTTTTCCAATGGAAGAATGAGCTTGCCTCGTGTACCCCTTCGGAGGAAAATTACCATCAAGGTATTCGGAATAAATTACATAATCACTGCAAATCATTACTAACCTTCTTTACTAGCCATTTTGATTTCAGATTGTAAATAAAATTCACTGCTGAATTTTATTTACTTCTAGAAGATATAAGATTTAAGCATGCAAAATTTTAAGAACTGTATGATTAATCTGATACAAATCTCAGGCTTACTGTTGCTGTTAATTTATGTTCCAGATCTTTAATCTTGCAGAAAACTAATTACATTAAAATGCCCCAAAATTGTTAGTTACTGATGTATTTATGACAGGGCCAATGAAACTTATCATTCATTGATTGTTGCAAGATGTCTGGATGTTAGACTATCAAGGCTACCACCATAACCTTTGCCTCTCTGAACATACAATGTTCTAATGTGGCAATATTCAATTTCTGTGATACAACAAAGCTGCTACAGCTTGTCAAGTAAGCTTCTCTTTATAAAACACCTCTGAAATAGTGATTACATATTCTTGTGTAAGATAATATATATGTCAGTGGTGAGCTATCATTTGCTATGATAAATCTAGCATTTGTAACTATATTTCAGAATTCTGTGCTTCAGTGATTTTGCTTCTTGGAATCAGAACTGAATAAAGCACAAACAGGACTGTCAATAACCGTTAGGCATTACTTTCAATTGCATCTTTCATGTTAAGAACATCATATGGCAATTAAATATATACAGCACAATCAATTAACTTATTAATAATCTAATTAACAAATGTTAACATTTACCTTTATTAGAAGGCAACTCTGGGTTTGTAAAGTCTAATTCCTCGATATCCTTTCTTGCTACTGAATAACTGCAATAAAATTAATTATTTACATTATGTTTGTCCTAAAAAGTTGATTAACTTCTATTTCTCTTTTTTTATTTTGTTACTTGTATTGCTAAAAAATTCTCTGCTCTTTTGAGAAATGTTATTTCAATGTTTAACATTTAGTAAGGTTATGTTCTCACATATATTAAACACGTTTTGAAAGGTTAGGTTTGGCATCTACCAAAATATTTTTAATTAAATACCTGCTCCCATTAATATTGGCTCAACTGATTACCTTGACCAGGAAGAAACTGAAGAGGCTCAGGAAACTACAGCAGCACTGATGCTGTGAAGAGCCTCCCCATGAAAGATCAAGCTAGTTCTGCTTTGCTTTTAGAAATTGTGTCAATCTCTACACTCATTTATGTTCATTTTTTATTTTATTTTGATCATTTTTACTTTTGTACCTTTTTAGAGGTTGCTTTTTTTAACCATGTCTAAACTAGTACTCTTTCTACAGAAGCTGAGATTCTATTCTACACATAGAAATATGTTTAAAAACAAATTAAGGGAATTTATTAATCATCGGGCCTTGAAACTATCTTCAAGTATGTACATGTCTGGTATTTCTGCTAGATTAATCTGAAGCATATGCTATTGCCAAAAACGTAGGTTCCATCAAAATTTATCTAGAGCTATATTTTGACTTAAATGTCAGTTGGACTGTAAGTTAAGGTGCACTAGTGGAATGGAAAAGAAAAACGAATTATTACAGTGGCCTTTCTTCTCAATCGGGCTTTGTAATTTTACACATAGCATGTAATTGTTAATTGTCACCAATAATTAAGATTCCCAAAATGGTTGTACTTGCCAAAGGATCATTTCAAACGCAGTAAAATAAATAGTTCCCTACTAAATACTTTTAAGTTGCTGCTTCCTGGTTTCTGCTTCTAAGTTACTTAAAGTCACTATATATTTATAATATATGTCATTTATAATATATAATCTATCAGATCATATGTATAAACAAATTCTCAGCACTATATATAGGAATGTTATCTAAAATTTACTCACAATTTGGAATCTGCAAAAGAACGAACTAAACACTGGTCCTTTTTCACTAAAATGTCATCGCTGCAGCTGGGGGATAAGACCTGGAGTTTCAAGTAAAACACATTAGATTGAGCAGTATTTTCCATTTTCCATTACCTTTTCCATTAGGTAAAAAAACAGCTTATGCAAACAAGGTTCCAACTCTGTTATGGCATCTCCCAGGTGCAACACTTAATTATCTAGAAAAAATACAATCTTAAGTAATTGCTATAAAGGAAGATTTTTTTTTCCTCCTCTCTTTAGAGGTCATGCAATAAATTAGTTTAGCATCAGAAGTAGCAGATAGGACTGAACTATCTCAGGATGTGACGCAAATCCATAGTGCTAGCAAAAGTAGTGCTAGCAAAAGAAAACCCTTTCTATATGAAGTTGCTACCAGAAAGATGAGCTTCATTTAGCTTTAGAACAGTGGTTCTCAACCTGTGGGTCAGGACCCCATTTGGGGTCGAATGACCATTTCACGGGGGTCGCCAAATAATGCAATCCGCCATTTCCCCCCCCCCTTTTCCTTAGCTGTGCTACTCCCTTTTATTCTATTGGCTTTTGAAAGCCAATAGAATAGACTCTCTTGAATAGAGTCTAATTCTATTGGCTTTCAAAGCCAATAGGAATTGTCCAGGCTGTCTCTGCCCTGCTGAGCCCACCAAAAGTCCCATTCTGCAAACGGTGCTGCACCAGTTGAGTAGTCCTCGACTTACAACCGGCTGAGTAGTCCTCGACTTACGACCGGTTGGGGGTCGCGGCATTAAAAAGGTTGAGAACCACTGCTTTAGAATATACTAGACAATCCATGACCGGCTGGGCCATTCTTTTAGATGTATTTCCTGATTCCCTAATCAGAGGAACAGAATGACCATGGGAAGGCAAAAAACAAAACAACAACAATGGGAATAGGAGCAACTTCTGACCTCCTGCCAGCTTCCCCACTGACTTTGCTTATAGGAAGCTGGTAGAGAATGTTGGAAATCATGATCACATGATTGTGGCAATGCTGCGGCAGCCACAACTTTGTGAACACAGCTGGTGTGAAGATCCTTGATATTTCAATTACACGAAAGTACAGGTAGTTCTTGTCTTACAACAGTTCATTTAGTGAACATTCAAAGTTACAACGGCACTGAAAAAAGTAACCATTTTTCACACTTAGATCACTGCAGCATCCCCATGATCACATGATCAAAATTTGGATGCTTGGCAACTGATTCATATTTATGACAATTGCAATGTCCCTGAGTCATGTGATGACCTTTTGTGATCTTATAACAAGCAAAATCAATTGGGAAACCAAATTCACTTAACAACCATGTTATTAACTTAACAAATGCAGTGATTCTCTTAACAACTTGTGGCAAGAAAGGTTGTAAAATGGGGAAAAATTCACTTAACAAATGTTTCACTTAGCAATAGAAATTTTGGACTCAATTTTGGTCGCAAGTCGAGGACTACCTGTAATGGGTCCTGGATTTTGTATGCATTCTTTAAAAGTTAGCAGATATTTGAGGTATCTTGGTTTGAAATAGTCAAACTTGAGTCAATCTTGAGCCGGTGAGATTTGAACCACTGACCTGCTGAACACAGTCAGCTAAAGTGGCCTGCAGTACTGCACTCTAACTGCTGCACCACCTCGGTTGTTTTATATGGTTGTTTTATCAAGCAGATGATCCAGCCTTCAGTGAGCAGCATCTTAATATCATTTGAGGAGATTGTATATTTCTATATGAAACAATACTTTCTGGTACATTTACATATTTATTTAGGCCTATTGCTGCAACTTTATTTGGCGCTTTTATATCTATCACACATTAACTCACTTATTCATTTATTGGATTTATATGGCTGCCCATCTCATACGTGATTCCTGTTTTAATACTGATGATAGGGATGGTTTACTGTACTCTGTAAAAAGAATGGACAGCATATAAATCAGAAATATACAGAAGTTATTTCCGTAGAATTCTACTATTTTTTGTTAAATTTCTATCTGTTTTTCTGTGCAGGAGCTCAAAGAAGAATCACAGAGTTCCATCCTCACATTTTAGCTACAATAACCCTGAGAAGTGGATTAAAAGGAAAAAGAGGCAGTCCAGAGTGATCCAGTGATCTTCTGTGGCAAAGGTTAGATTTAAATCTGAGTCTCTTCGCTGCCTGTCCAATACCTTTAGTAGCTTTTAAAATATATTTATAGGGATGTTCAAATGAGAACTAGAAGGAGTCAAAGATTTTTGATATATTGTCAGAGACAGCTGACATGAAAATGTATTATTATATAAAGCTACTCTATAAATTACATAAATTCTAAATAATGGCCGGCAGTTTTTTTGCTACAAAGAAAAGTACAAATTTGAAAATGAAGCATTGTGCTCCCAAGATGCAAGCATCCTGAATTTGGGGAAAAAAATATGTCATTCTTAAGACTTTTAAATACTTCTTACCAAAGCTGGATACCATTCTGCCTTTTCAGTATTGGATACCACACTGACAATTTTACCAAGCAATTCATCATTAAGACGTCTCTTATCTTCCTCTTCCTCTTCACTACTTTCTTCCTCTTTTTCATCTTCATTGCTAAAGAATTGGGCATATAAAAATTTATACTGTCAGAATGTGAAAGTCAAAAGGAGACTTAATTTCATTGTAGCTATTGGATGTTGAGTTCAATATGACAGGGGTTCTTGGAAATTTATTCTGTGGGAAACAATTCAGCAAATACTAGAATGTTTAAGAGTAGCACTAGTAGACATCCTGATGCTAATTTACAAATATCTATGGAGATTCTCAATCATCCAGGTCATGATTATCCCAAAGGTGCTTTTCAAAAGGCAAGGAAAAAAAACCAAGAAAGTCTAGATCCCTTTTGAAAAAGCATCTTTGGGATAATTTACAAATGTTTGCGAAAGGAAATGCTGAGGTGAGAAATGAAAATCACTTATATACTGATATATGAGGTTTTAATCTAGAGCAGATTTCAACTCCCAGAATTCTCCAGCTAGAATGCTTGCCAGGGAATTCTCGAAGTTGAAGTTCACACATCTCAAAGTTGCTTAGTTGGAGAAATACTGACCTAGAGTATTTAAGGGCTGCCCTATTGCTACATTCAGGAAAATGTCTACCTACCCAAATTGTTCATTGTTTAAGTTTATTTCTTCTTTAAAACAATGGAATATACATATAAAGAAATAATAAACAGACCTACTCTAAGGAAAACTAAAATCACAACTGCATATATAATGCACGCTATATGAATGGAACTTTTTTTGCATAATTCCTGTATTACTAGACACTGAATAGTAATATTTATATGAAATCCTGCCCTCTGTTTGCTTTTGTCCTCTATCACATTTTAAAGTCTTTCACAGAACAAGGGACTTCAAGTGGATTTCTATGTTACCCTAGCATAGATATCTAAATTTGTAAGAAATCCAGGAAGACATCTCCTATTGCTTAACACATAGGTTCTGCATGCTTCTACCACTATATCTGTCCAAAAAAGACACTGAGCTCCCTCTTTCTTCATCACCTCAGGAGCTGTTCACAGACTGTAAACAACTGGCCTAGGGCTGCAACTTCCTCATCTGAGTCCGAAGTATTATCAACTAGTTCTATAATCATGAGGCACTATTTATACAAGTAGCTTTATTGTTTGCACTAACTTGCCCCTCCTCTTTTACTTGACAGATATAATGACAATAAAAAGTAGACCAGTAGACTGTGTTGAGAATATAAAGTTCAATTCCCCAAATTGTCAAGTACACTTCTGAAGGTATTTGTATAAGACATGCACAATTACTGCTGAAGGATAGCATCCTCATCCCAGATAAAGAAAACCGATACAAAAATATGGCGTCATAAAAGTTACTCACACAGGAAGAGACGACCTTCTTCCTCTGTTAGATTTCTTTCCAATTACAGGTGTTCCAAAGTGCTCTGGGTTTGTTAGTGGCAGTTGGTCAAGTGTCTAAGGAAGGAAATTAGAAAAGAGAGTTTGCTGATTTTCCAATAAAAAGTGAAATAGCATTTAAAAAACAACAACTGTAAAATCCTACCTCACTTTCAGCAAAGTGCCTCTCCCCCTTCAAACACAGCGAGGTCCGTCTCAATGTCCTCTCGTCACCGTCATCAAAAACTAAACAAAGCCAGAACTATTATTCACTAAACAGGAAAGTATTTTCTAAATAAAATTAAACATAAAGTATAAATTATTCTAGTAAACAAAACTCCTTGTTTCAAGTTCTTTCAGCATACATGGAAGAATTAGAACATCTACCATCAAAACAGCGTATAAGATACAAGACTTTTGTAACTAAAGGCACCCTCAATCATAATTTTTCTCTTTAAAAGAAAGATACTGCAAATGTATCCTCTTTCACAACTTTATCTCTCCTACTCAGCATGCAGTTTTCATCTGCTTGATTTTACTAAGACTGAAACATTTGGGTAAAGTATTCATAGATTAATTTCAATTTTCTACATAATAAACCATTTTTGTAATGTTGGCTTGCTGTTGGTGACCATGAACAGTTAAATATGGGTAATATAAAAATTTTGCTCAGCAAACAAGGTTTACAAGTAGTACAATACAGAAGTGCTACAGAGAGAGGGAGGGAGAGAGGGAGAATAACTAAGTAATGCTTGAGACCAGTGCTTTTTTTCTAAAAAAAAAAAAAAAAAAGTGCTGGAACTCACAAATGTCATACAACCTGCCTTGCCTACCCTATAAGATTTCATCCAAAAAAGGTGCCGGAACTCTGTTCTGGGCGTTCTATGAGAAAAAAAGCCCTGCTTGAGACTAGGGCATTAGCCATTCTGGATCTAATTCTCACTAACAGAGATGAAATAATAGAAGGTGTTGAAGCCATAGGAACCTTGGGAGGAAGTGATCATGCAATATTGGAATTCAACATTATGGAAGCACAAGCAATAGAACACAAACTAGAGTCTTGGACTTTAAGAGAGCTAATTTCAATAAACTTAGAGAGGGCTTGGGAAGGATTCCATGGATGAGAATCCTCAAGGGGAAAACAACTCAAGAAGCTTGGGAAATTTTGAAAAGTGAGATAATAAAAGCCCAGTCCAGCACAATACCAACAAAGAGGAAAAAATAACAGCTCTCAAAAGAAACCATGGCTGCATAAGGAACTCTCTGATAAATTGAAAGATAAAAAGGACAAGTATAGAAAGTGGAAAGAGGGGCACATAACTAAGTCAGAATATCAGCAAATAGCCCGAGCCTGCAAAGATAAAGTGAAGAAAGCTAAGGCTCAAAATGAACTAAGGCTTGCAACCAAAGTCAAAAATAACAAAAAAGCTTCTTTCAATATATATAAAAAAAGAAAAAAGTGAAGGAAATGATTGGTCCATTAGTGGGAGAAAGTGGCAAGAAGGTGACAAGCAACAGGGAGAAAACAGAACTATTTAACACGTTTTTTGCATCTCTATTTACACAAAGGGAAAAAACAGACCAACCTATCAAAAGCAGTACCGTAAAAAAAAGATTAGAAACGCAAGTTAAGATAGGCAAGAAAACGGTAAGTGAGCACCTGTCCAGCCTAGACGAGTTCAAATCACTAGGACCAGATGGATTACACCCCAGGGTTCTCAAGGAACTGACAGATGTGATCTCAGAACCATTGAACTATATTTTTCAAAGTTCCAGAGCACTGGGGAACTACTGGAGGACTGGAAAAGAGCTGATGTAGTTCCCATCTTCAAAAAAGGAAAAAAAATGGACCCAGGAAATTACAGACCTATCAGCCTGACCTCAACACCTGGGAAGATTCTGGAAAAGATAATTAAACAACGAATCAACGAACACCTAGAGGCAAACAAAGTCATTACTAAAACCCAACATGGGTTTGTCAAAAACAGATCATGCCAGACAAATCTTATTGCATTCTTTGACCAAGTGACAAAATTAGTGGATCAGACAAATGCTGTGGATATAATTTACTTGGACTTCAGTAAGGCATTTGATAAAGTAGATCACAACCTACTACTTGATAAGATAGAAAAGTGTGGGTTAGACAGCATCACCACCAGATGGATCTGCAACTGGCTGACCGGCCGTACTCAGCGTGTGATCCTCAATGGAACCGCATCTACATGGAGGGAAGTGTGTAGTGGGGTGCCCCAGGGCTCTGTTCTGGGCCCAGTGCTCTTCAACATCTTCATCAACGATTTGGACGAGGAGATAGATGGGGAAATCATCAAATTTGCAGACCACACCAAGCTGGCAGGAATAGCCAACACTCCAGAAGACAGGCTTAGGATACAGGAGATCTGGCCAGAATTGAACCCTGGGTGCTACCTAACAAAATGAAATTCAATGGTGAAAAAAGTTTAGGCAAGAAAAACCAAATGTACAGGTATAGTATAGGAAGTACCTTTCTCAATAGTAGTAACTGTGAGAGGGACCTCAGAGTCCTAGTGGACAATCACTTAAATATGAGCCAGCAGTGTGCTGCAGCTGCCAAAAAGGCCAACACAGTGCTAGGCTGCATTAACAGAGGGATAGAATCAAGATCACGTGAAGTATTAATACTACTTTACAATGCCTTGGTAAGGCCACACTTGGAATACTGCATCCAGTTTTGGTCACCACAATGTAAAAAAGATGTTGAGACTCTAGAAAGAGTACAGAGAAGAGCAACAAAGATGATTAGGGGACTGGAGGCTAAAACATATAAGGAACGATTGCTGGAATTGGGAATGTCTAGTTTAACGAAGAGAAGGACAAGGGGGGACATGATAGCAGTCTTCCAATATCTCAGGGGTTACCACAAGGAAGAGGGAGTCAAGCTATTCTCCAAAGCATCTGAAGGCAAGACATGAAGCAACGGATGGAAACTAATCAAGGAGAGAAGCAACCTGGAACTAAGGAGAAACTTCCTGACAGAACAATTAACCAGTGGAACAACCTGCCTCCAGAAGCGGTGAATGCTCCAACACTGGAAGTTTTTAAGAAGAGACTGGACAGCCATTTGTCTGAAATGGTATAGGGTTTCCTGCCTGAGCAGGGGTTGGACTAGATGACCTCCAAGGTCCCTTCCAACATTTATTATTATTATTATTATTATTATTATTATTATTATTATTATTATTATTATCATCATTATTATTATTATTATTATCGATCATCGCACAGTCAGCCAGATGTTCAGACTGGATTTGGCATTTTGTCTGGGATAGGACCTGGGATAGGCAGATGTGGATGTTTGATGGTATTACAGATATCGTCGCAGGATGGAAGCAGTTCCTAATAAGGCTGCCTTTTGCAATTGACTAATAGCGAATTTGTCAATGCCAATGGTGTTCAAGTGGTGCTCCAGTTGTTTTGGGATTGCACCCAAGGAGCCTATGACTATTGGTACTACCCTTGCTTGCTTTTGCCACAGTCTTTCTATTTCTATTTGTAGGTCTTTGTATTTTGTTATCTTCTCCAGTTCTTTCTCTCTATTCTGCTGTCTCCAGGCACTGCCACGTCCACTATCCAGACTTTTTTGTCTTTCTTATCGACAATTGTTAAGTCTGGGGTGTTATGTTGCAGGTGCTTGTCTGTTTGAATTCTGAAGTCCCAGAGCAGTTTAATTTTATCATTTTCTATGACTTTCTCTATTTTATGATCCCACCAGTTTTTGCTTACAGGCAAATGATATTTTTTGCAGATCTTCCAATGCACCATTGTTGCTACTTTGTCATGCCGCTGCTTGTAATCAGTCTGTGCAATCTTCTTGCAACAGCTTACCAAGTGGTCCACTGTTTCTTCAGCTTCTTTGCATAGGCGGCACTTACTGTCTGTTGCTGTCTTCTCAATTTTGACTTTGTATGCATTTGTCCTTAAGGCTTGGTCTTGTGCAGCCAGAATTAGTCCCTCGGTCTCTTTCTTCAATTTTCCTGCTATTATTATTATTATTATTATTATTATTATTATTATTATTATTATTATTATTATTATTATTATTATTATTATTATTATTATATTATATGTATGACTTTTATTTCCACATTGGCTTGGAATTATGGAATCAAAATTGAACATATCTGGATTTCAAGAGCTACTATTATAATCCTAATCATATTCTGTAATATGTTTACATACCCTCTGTGAAAGTTTGAATAACAAAAAGCAGTCTTCCTAAATCAGATATTTCACAGTATTCTTAAAACAATACAGGACACTCGGTTGAGGCAGATAATAATAAAACTAACAAGATAAATATGTGACCTTGCATACATGCAGTGAAGAGCATTGTCTGTATGTTTTTCTCATATTGATGAACAGTGCTGCTACATTTTGCTGATTTGTATGCTGGGTTTATTTTTAAGAAAAGTGGAATGTAAACGATACAATCCTAATCCCCATTGCTTAATGGGCAAGGGAACAGAATTCAAACTATAGCTTTCTGCTATATATAGTAAAGAACTATTTGCCCCTTCTCTTCTTCATTTTTGCATATCTTTGCCATATCCTTTGTATATCTTTGAATGTTATTAATTGTTCAAAAAGAATGCATACATAAATCCAAAACTTGGTGTTTCTTTGTTTCATAAATGTAGACATCCAACATATAAATGCCAATGTGAACAATAATTATTCTTTTAGATTTAATAACTGGCTGCACACTTTTACATGCAATAATTGAAAACAATCATTCCTGTAGCTAATGATCAATCTCTCCTATCACTGTGCAAGAGCTTTGGCCTATTCCTCAACTAAGCAACTCCAACTAAGTAACACTTAATATTTTCTTAATGTTCTTCTTGCTTCATTCTATTCCTTATTTTGCTCGTATTTTTGAGAATCTGTCATGTTGCATAGATCCACCTATTTTTCAGCTGACAGAGAGATAGCCTCAAATTCTCCTTGTAAGATGTTATGACAAGTGCCTTGATTATGTCAAAAAGTAATGTAATGTTGTAGTTTTATAATGTGTACAATAAAAGTTCTGTATCTACGAGTGTCTGTCATTGATAACCAAATGGAGGTTTATTTCCGAATTGCCCTCATATGACCCGCAGGAAGCAATGCTAATATTCAGTGTCAAAGATATAGTGGCACTCAAAAATCTGAAATGGGATTAATATTTTTTCACAGAACTGTATTATGTGAAAGGTAAAGGTTTGTGATTAGTTGCCACCTTCTAGTATAAACTGTTGGTCATAAACCCATCACAGTTACATAATAATGCCTTTCAATGAGCAGGCATAAGCACACTGGAAAAGAAAACAAATGTTTTCTAAAATATATCAAATTCTACTTTCATTTTTTAAAAAGGTTACTAGATTGAAAAACATACAGAGCAATTGAATGAAACAATATAAAAATATTGATATCATCAAATCCTGTTTCTTAGTAATGTTCTTAGTAATGAAAACATGGTTGTTTTTAATCCTTGTTTTATAGTATCATACCTTTGTCATGTTCTTTCAGCTACCATAAATATTCCTTCCTGTTTTAAATCTCCTTAATTAAATTAAAGCCATACTGAGCATGCCCTTTTTCAATAATATAGCTGTTCTTAAAGAACATACTATCAAGAAACTGTTAAAACAAGGATACCAGAAACCAGAACGTCTAACCACTGTATTCCTATTTTGCTATCTTACAATGTTATTTTGCACATACAAACATTTGTAATTTCCTCACAATAAATATATTTAAATTAAAATATATAAATGGTTAGTTTTAATAATGTGGCTATGATAGTTCACAATTACTGCACAAATGTATCAACACACATGACAGCTCAACTTGTCTGCATTTACTGTATGCTGTCCAGAGTCACAGTTTGAGCTGGGCAGACTAATCAGTAAGTAACTAAATAAATAAGTATTCAAAGTAAAAACAAACTGTATTCTCCAGCACTGGAGAATAAAAATAGAGAACTGGATACAACTGATCCCTTTCTTTCTAGGCATTAAGTTTTTATTAATTGAGCCATGCAAAACATTTTAAAAAATATTTTATAATATGCATGAGCAAAATGCACCTACTTTAAAATAGTTGTTAAATATTTTGCAAGGCTCAGGGGGTAACTTCAGAAGCTGTTCCCAACTATAAATGTGCATATGTTCAGACAACAGTTCTCCTGGGATTGTCAACAATACAAGTAACTGTGCATGCATACATAAGGAATCAGCAATACAATAATACCTTGGTACTCAACTGCTTTGAAACTCATCAAATTTGGTACTCAGTGCATTTTGACGTGAGAAGTTTGTCCCAGTACTCATCATTTGTTTGGTACTGAATGCACAGCTAGAACTTGTATCAATTGCCTTGTGACTCGCTACATTATTCCTGATGGGAAAGATCTATTTGGTGCTCATTGTTTTTGGTACTTACTGCACCTCCCAGAACCTTTTAATGATGGGTACCGAGGTACCACTGTAATAGGTTCTAAAATAACTATGCTAGCTTGTAAAATATGTGGCTGCTTTACTGATAAGAAGAAAAATTCTTTGTGCTTACAGAGAGATGAAGCACCTCTATTCAATACTTGCCCACCTCTCATTATTACGGATTCCAGTCATGTTCCTACAGAAAGCTCCAGGCAGATCTCAAGTTTATTTTACCTCTGAAGAAATGCTGTGAAGTATAAGTTGCAAGCTTGGACTGGACACTGAACTTAATGATCTACAATACTAAAGATCTGAACCTGCTCCTGATCCAACATTCTAATCACTTAGCCATCCTGCCATATTTTCCAGAGCAAAATAGAAGGGTGAAAGCTACTTAACACATTCATAGTTAAACTTGAACAGAAGATGTCTTGGTTCACAGCTCAATTTGCTTAAACCAAGACGCAGTCTACCAGAGATAGCCAAATACTGTGAGTTAAGATGCCACCTCTCTGAATCCATGTTTCTGTTGCAAAAAAAAAAAAAAACATTTCCTACAAATGCAATTAAAGCTCTGTTTTGATTAGAATGACAGTATCACAATCAGGTTGTAAAATATCATACAGACAGAAAATTATTCTGTCTGGCAATAGAGGTTCATGCCTTTGTCAATTCTATCATCTTTTTAGAGCTGCAATTCTATATATGCTAAAATAATAGTAAGCACTATACATATATAAACAATTAGAATTATGTAGTTCAAGAAAATCATGTCATTATTGGAAGACAAATGTTCAAACTTTCATGTGGGTTTTTTTTTGGGGTAATGTTGTGAAGTTCAAATATAAGCTGTATCCAATAATGAACATGAATGTACTGATCCACATCATTTTTATGCACCTATAATCACAGACCAAATTGCTATCTTCATACAATCTATTCCCTTCACCTCAAAATACAATCCCATGTACATAATCCATGGAGTAAATTCTACCGAGCTCAGAGAGCCTCATCTCTAAATAGGATTCTTTATACATCTTTTTTAATTAGTCTCTTAAATTTCTGTAGCAATATCTGCTATGAGGATTTTTTCAACGAAGTGAAAGAAAGATGAAAATAGACTAGAATAGTGCAAGTGAAGAAAAAAAGGACCATAAATACAGTAGTAATTATAAAAGGAGAAATGAAAAAAGAGGCATATAGAAATTAGCAGAAAAAGATGAAGAGACCTAGCTTTTAGCATGACATACTGCCCACTGGTTTATTGCTGGCCTTCAGTATGTTGCTTGACTGAGTCAAGAAATCACAACATCCATTACCTGCCTCCCACCCCCTGGGCTCATTGGCTTAGTAGCAAAATTCTACCAATTGGTTAAAACTTTAATTACCAGTCCCTTGAGCATAAAATATACATAGCAGTTAGCCATGGGGATGTAAAGAGCAAATATCATTAAAAATATGACAAACCACAATCAAGTAGAGTGTGGGGTCTCAATGCTACAACAAATTCTACAATTTTTTATTTGTACAATCAAAAAGGCTAAATTAGAGTATCTCCATGGTGCCATCCATGACACTTGCATTAAAGTTTTAGAATGTTTATTGTATTTTTCCAAGAATCAGTATCTGTTAAAATGTAAAGTTTACTAAGTATGTAGGAAACTAAGTGAAAGATAGAATCACTGTGTCCATTATAAATATTTTGTATATATTAAACTAAAGATGTTTTAAATAATAGGTTTATTGGATTCAGAAAGTAATTTTAATGTTAGGGTTAATCAACGGAGTTCAATGCAGTATTAACAGTAGACATGAACAAAACCTATCATACCATTTCCCCTTCAGACCATTCCCAATACAAAATTATCTCCAGAAAACCACCAGTTTATTCCCAGAAAAAGTTCCCAAGAAAAACTAGACTACTTTAGGTTTTTCTTTAATATTCCATGACCAGAAAAGTAGGTGTTATACATTATTTTTCAGCTATTGATAATGTAACTGATGTAACTTTTCTTTTCACAGTCTCTGAATAAACATAAAAGTAGGCAACTGCTCATGAGAAAATACATCTCAGTGCAAGAAAGTTAGTCTTTAGTAATAAAAAATAAACTAAAATAATACTTACCTACGGTATACCAGCTGGCATCTGTCAATTTACTGATGATAGCTTCTTGAAAGGTTCCATCAGGCATCTTGGTTTCAACAACTGCACCAGCCTAAAATGATGATGTTTATATTTAATGTACCTATTGCAGATTCTTTTATTTACATCATTAAAGTATTTCACTAGCAAAGTGGGAATTCTAGAACACTGTATTTTCTTAATGTGAAACTATATACAAGACAGGAAGCACAGCCAAGACAGAACATGGCAAAACAGAGTGGCTCCAGGTTAGCAAAGAAATGAAACAAAGCTATATACTTTCCCCCTTATTTATTCAACAAATATGCTGAAAATATACTAAGGGAAGCTAGATTTTTTTTAAAAAATTGACATGATTTTAAAACTTGGAAGAAGAAACATTAATAACCTGTGCTATGCTAATGGCACTGGTCTAATTGCTGGAAATGCAAATGATCTGAAAGCTTCAGTAAAGGGAGTTAAGTAGCACAGTGAAACAAATGGAATTAAGATTAAACATCAAGAAAACCTAAACCTAACTAAAGGCAACAGGTACAACAAACAGCCTTAGAAATGAAAAAGTATGTTCTCAAATGGTGGATAGCTTCTGCCTCAATACTCAAAGTACTGCCCAAACCTATAATGCCTGGCTGACAAACCATACTCAATGAGTAGTCCTTAATTAAGTAATCCTTAATGATACTACATCTATATGGAGGGAAGTAAGCAGTGGGGTACCACAAGGTTCTGTCTTAGGCCCAGTACTCTTCAATATCTTCATAAATGACTTAGATGAGGGAATAGAAGGGGATCTCATCAAATTTACAGATGACACCAAGCTGGCAGGAATAGCCAACATCCCAGAAGACAAGCTCAGAATCCAAAAATATCTTGACAGATTTGAACAATGGGCTCTATCTAACAAAATATTTAATGTGGAGAAAAGCAAGGTTTTACACCTGGACAGGAAAAACCAAAAGTACAAGTACACTTTAGGCAAAATCTGGCTCAAAAACAGTAACTATGAGAGGGTCCTAGTGAACGTTCACTTAAACATGAGCCAGCAGTGTGCGGTAGCAGCCAAAAAAGGTAACACATTCCTTGGTTGTATAAACAGAGGCATAGAATCAAAATCACATGAAGTATTAGTACTTTATAAAGCCTTAGTAAGCCCACATCTGGAATACTGCATCCAATTTTGGTCACCACATTACAAAAAAGATGTTGAGACTTTGGAAAAAGTGCAGAGAAGAGCAACCAAGATGATTAAAGGCCTGGAGATTAAAATATATGAAGAAAGGTTCCAGGATTTGGGAATGTCCAGTCTAGAGAAAAGAAGGACTAGGGGAGATATGATAAAAGTATTCCAGTATTTGAGAGGCTGCCACAAGGAGGAGGGAGGTAAATTTATTTTCCAAAGCACCAGAAGACAAGACAAGAAACAACAGATGGAAACTAATCAAGGAAGAAGCATCCTAGAATTAAGGAGAAACTTCCTAACAGTGAGGACAATTAACCAGTGGAACAGCTTTCCTTCAGACGTTGTGGATGCTTCATCACTGAGATTTTAAAGAAAAGACTGGACAACCACTTGTCTGAAATGATATAGGGACTTCTGCTTGAGCAGGGGGCAGGGCTAGAAGACCTCCAAGGTCCCTTTCAGCTCTATTCTGATTGACTGATGCCAATTTCCTTAGATTAAAACTTGGAGTCACACTTTAACATACTTTCCAATCTGGCAGAACTGTGAGTCCCCTTACTGCTTAAAACACTCAAGAAAGCTCCATCAATATGATCCATCAGTATCTATGCCCATCTCTTTCCATTCAGTCAAATAAAGAACTGATATATTTTGGACAACACATCTAGGGCATTATCAAGTTTATTAATGTACAGATTCAATCATCTTACCCTCTATTATGTTATCTCTCATGCATTAGTACAGAACTGGCAAAATAACCCTGCATCTACTACTTGAATCAGTCCAGTGGGTTAATCCCAATTATTAGCTTATTTTCTCATAGCACCTTCAAATTGTCTACCAGCAATAAAATTATAAAGTGATCAATAGAAAGCAACAGTAAAGTATTAAAAAAATAACGAAATCCTCAGTCCAAAGAATGTTACCTGAATTTAAAACTTTTGATTTCAATACAGCTATGAAGTATAAATATACTATCAAAACTGAAGCTATACTATTGAATTTAGAAATTAATATCTCCTGAATGAAATTGTTACATGAATATGTGAAGCTAAATAAATTCTAATATTTTTAATGATGTTCTCTTTCTACTGGTAATTTCTTTCCTATGTTACTTTCCTAGTTAGTGATACTCTGAATGAAAAAAAAAAATGCATGTTTCTTGGAGCGAATACCAAATCAGTAACTACAAAGTTTTATTTCAGTCATCCCAGATATTTTTTAAAGTATAACTGAAAAAAGGTGTTATACACATACCCTCAAAGGTCCTTTCACCTGATCATCTTGCACTAATTGTGTTGAATTATCTTGCTTTAAGATCACCTAAATATTTTGAAAGAAATTTCAAAGAATTATAGTTGTACAATATTGAAAAATATATGCATAATTTAAACTTGCTGAAACCCAGTCTAAAACAGAAATCTAGTCACAAGACATTCCCAATGAAGAAAGGGAAAATGAATATCACTGCAGGCTAAAGTTAGTGAAAATAATTTCATTTTTTTCAACAGGGGATTTCAAGTACATAGGTCCATTCAATAAATGCAGTTTACCATGGAAAGGGAAAAAACATTGTCCCCATCTTTACCAGTGTGCAACTTAGAATGTCCTTACAAATAAGAGTGTCCTACAGTGTATGCCAACCTATGTACAAAATAAACTTTAATGTAACATTGGAGTTTGAGCAGTTTATGAATAGATTGTATTTAAGTTTGCCAAACTATCAAAGAAGTGAGAAAACACTACACTCTTATCAGAATGCCTATCCAATAAATGAGAAAGCACACTAGATTCTTAACTGAAATTTGTCAAGTTCAGTTATATTCCACAAATTGTTTGCCAAACTAAGAAACTATAAGTCTCTATCTAAACTAATGTTAGCGAATTCAACGAGGCTGACTTAAAGGGATATGAGCATAAAATTTTAATCTAAAATTAATTTAAATCAGGTGACACTTTAGATCATCATTAAAACTTATATTTAATACAAGCGGCCTATTAATTCAGATATTTCCTATTAAACAACTAAGCAAGTACAACAAATGGGCCTTTCATTGAGAAAAATTGCAGATGGCATCAATTAAACATTAACAAACTAGGAATTCTGAATCTGCACAATGTTTGTAAATTTATAACCCATTTGAAAATACATGTATAATTTCAAGATAGCTTATGTCAGTTTTACAAAGTTTCATAATTCTTTGTAATAAACATAAATTAATATTAAATATCAATAGTCAACTTCAGTCTAATTCAGTCAGGAAAAGCTATCGGGAAATTCAATACTCAAGTTTTGTACATGCAATTTATTAACCAAGGTGTAGGAAGGAAGTGACAATTCATACAATAGAAATTTAATGAGCTATCCTTAGCAAATCTCTATCTGCATGGAGGGTCTTCCTTAAATCAATAATGATCGAACATACATTCTTTGTATGTTCGGTTAGTATTTTCCCAGAGTAAATTATAATGTGAAAACCTGGCTGCCATAAAAAATATTAGCAGCTAAACTAAACAAAACAGATCTAGACAAATTTATTGCCAGAATTTGCACAAGAAAGTTCAGAGTGTTCCTTAATGGTCTTTAAACTCTTATTGTTAGCATTTCTTCTTACCTTAACTTTCACTAGCCTTTTCACTGTCTTAATTTTTGCCTCACAGAAAGCACCCCGATATTTGGCACTGACATCAGTCCCCACTGTTAGGTAGGCAGGCTCATCTGCTGCCTGCAGAAAAATTAGAAAGATCAATACAAACAAAGCTGAACTGACAGAAGAGTTTAGATATGCTTCTCAGATTTCAGAACTGTTAGTCCAGTTTTGTCATAAGTAGCAGAGCACATCAAAAGGCCCAAATTTTGTTTTAAAAACAGTAGTTTATAGCTCCCAAACAAAGCACACAATGCTACCTACGTCATAATTTGTAATAAAGTAATGTTATAGATGCTAGTATAGTAGCTCATACAAAGGAAAACCCCACTTACTTAAGACTAAATAAATTTGCTCTGGACTGCAGGCTTGATCCTACAGTCAGGATGGAAGTCATTAAAACATAGTGTTTAATAAACGAACAGCATACTGTTAAAGAACAACATAGTAACATTTATACCACAATAACAAATGTTCTGCTAGAAATCTTAAACACTGAATACTATTTTCACTTTGGGAACACCTTTACACCTGTCATCTTCAACTGTTTATGTTGACACCTATCTCCGTCAAAATAGAAAAACAAAGCATTCGACAATTATGAGCATAAATTGAGTCTTACTCCTCTCTCCAATCCAACAGGAAAACATATTGTAGAAATAATTTCTTTTCTACTTCTATAAGCAAATAATCTATAGCAGATTGGTCTTGACATTGTTTGGCATTCTGGAAAGAACTAAAGACATGGTTTTGTTATTTGGCCTGTGGTGTGGAACCTGAAAACTGGCTGCAATCTTAGTAAAATTAACTATATTCTCCTGATTATTGTATTTTTTTTAAAAAAATAGTTTTCATTGTTTTTAATAGTTTTGTTGTTATATATTTGGTTATTTTTGTATTGTATCAATAAAAACAATTTTAATTTTGTAAGCTGCCCAGTCATGTATTTGAAACAGACAGCTATACAAACTTAATGATAAAAAGTTCAGTTCTGCTTATTTTATTGCTAAATGTGTAACTTGTAAATACAGCAAACACGAATGCAGAAATACAAAAAGAAAAACAAATGCAACGAACCAAAATCCAACATGTGTCTGCATTCTTAAATTCTCTTTCTCATGCAGACATTTCCTTTGATGATTTTTTTTATCTTACAAGGGGAATGAAGTCTTTCTCCTCCACGTTTTAAGATCTATTTTCCCAGGTATGACTTATCTACTAATTTCTGAGAACAAACTTCAGAGAAAAGACTCAGTGCCCAATATGAAAGAGACTACTACCTGATTTTGCAAGTTTTGACAGCTCAGTGTTGCCACAGTAACTCAGGATGTGTATGAAATGCAATGACATCCTTTTCATGTTTTCATTTTAAAGTAAGCAAAATATTACATGTGGGGAGGAAAGGGGAAAGCTTTCATACACTCCAAAACAGACATGGAGATTTACCTTCATAATTGAAGGTTATTTGAGGGATTCCAGCTCAAAGCGTTTTGTGTACCACAGTTGAAGAAAATCTGGAAACAAAGGGGAAAAGATAACTGTTATCAGATTCATCAACTTTAAAGAAAGATCAATGACCTCTGAATAAGACAATTATCTATGAAAACTGTAGTCAGTTACTAAAAACACTGACTTTTGGAGCTATAAACAGCAATCCCTAAAATTCTAGAATATTCATGTCAGCATAGCTTGCATTTCAAAAAAGAAAAAAGTTCTGTAAAGAATTAAGTCTTATTATATTAGAAGAGAAATGGATGCTACTACATTCGGCCTTAGCTTCCTCTTGCTCATCTCCACTTCCTTTGTATCAATCACCACTGTTGCTCTCTCATTCTTTGTAACCTATTAGGAAAATAAAGGAACCCCATGTACATGCAGAATATAAATCATATGGAAGAAGAAATTCTTAGGTAATAGTTGAAAAATTATAACCTGCATCTGTCATTGTCCATGATTTTTGAATCTGAAACCAAGATATTAGCTATGCAAATAAAGATTAAGCTCCCAGACCAGTCTACTATATAGGTACTTTCAAACTATTTCTAATCATATTTAGCCAAAAATAGAGAGTGGGATTTATTGTCACATTTACATGGGACTGCAGCAGTCACTGAAAGTGTGGTAATAATTTAGGCACTTTAAAAAGGCTCTCATTCCTTTCTGGTAGCAGCAGCCTCCCTCAAATGATTCATGGCCTTTCCCATCAGTCCCCCATATGGTGTGTCAGGTGGTCTGGACTCTTTCATATAATTTTCAAAGGCCATTTTCAAAAAGTATATCTCGTCCTCCATTACAGTACATTTGTTCTTACTTTATTCTGTTCTCACCAGAGAAGGAAATGTTCCCCCATCTCACAAACCCTGGTCTTCCTCAAATCACAAAAACTCAGCATCCTGTACAACAGGATCCCAACAACCAACTCTTTCAGTTCCCCTACAGGCGTCTCCTGCCCCCAAAACAACTCATGGACCCACCGGTCCCACTTTGTGACTCTAATGGTGGGATAAGAAGGGGGCCTGAGTGAAAAAGGAAGGAGTGGAAGAAGGATTAAAAAGTAAGTGAGTAAAACTGAGATAGAAGAGGAAGGCAAGAATCCGGCTAATAAGACTGACGAAGGTGGAGGGAATGAAACCTGCAAAGAAAGCCAAGCCAGCCCCACAGCCGAGCGAGGCCAGTCTGAGTATGTGGTCCGAGGTGGCAGTGGAGAGAAGCAACATCCCACTCGGATCCTCTTCTAAGTGAGGAAAGAGAAAGAACGGACTAGTTTATACCCAAAAAGGGCAAAAGGATAAATCACGCCCCCCCTCATTTCACCAACCCCCCCCCTTGTTGTTGTCCCCCTCAGCCAACCTTCCGAGCCGAGGAAGAGGGTTGCATCCCGATCTTCCCTCTTCCCTTCCAGAGTAATTGCGAGTCCGTCGCCTCGGCCGCCCCCGGACCGAGGACGGGTTCCCGGCCCGGCCCCCTCTCAACTCCACGGCTTCACTCCCAGTCCCCTCCCCCCCACCCTCTTGCAAGCCCCTCAAAAACTCACGGCTGAGTGCAGTCCACGGCGGCAGCCCTCCTCACCCGGCGGAGAGCGCGGGCAGCCCGGCCGAAGACACCGTCCGACCCCCACCAGGAACAAGCCGCGACAGCAGCGGCCAAAGAGGAGGAGGAGGAGGGCGACGACGACAGCAGCAGCAGCAGCAGCAATAGGGGCTGTCCTGCCTTGCTCCGCCTTCTCTTCTTCTCCGCCCCCTCGGCAGCCCGGGCTCGGCGGCTCCCACTCACTGACGGAGCGAGTGTCACTCTTTAACCCAGCGCTGTTCACCACCCAAATAACAAGCTGTTGAGCAGTAGGGGCGCTGCGCGGCCTCTCATTGGCTCCTCCCCTCACGCGCCCCCTCCGCACGCTTGACGCTCGAGGGGGACTTGCCCCTCCCTCATTGGGTGCTTCGCATGCCTCCCGCCTTTCATTGGACTGCGGAAGAGTTTCTCTGAGAAGACGATTGGGCGAACGGGTAGGCTTTTTTTTTAAAGAGGGAGCGAAAGGGGAAGCGACTTCTCATTGGCTTAAATCGTAGAGCAGCCAAGCCCTGTTGGATGCCCGGACTTTAAAAGGGAGTGAAGTCAAAGTTTCCACCAGTCCCTCCCTCTTTCCTTTGCCTGTGATTGGAAACAAGTGACATTTTTTTAAAGCATCCGGATGGGAAGCCCCGGAAGCCTGGATTGATGGGCGCCCGACGGGGCCGGAAGCTGCGACGAAAATAAGGGGAGGTGAATGAAACTTGTTGGTTTTTCGTGAAAACGGAAAGGGGAGGGGTGAAATTAGCGAACAGCGGTGACGAGCGAAGTCACCGCACTCCTGATGCGCATGCGTTTTGGGCCCTGGGGGTTTATTTTGCTTTACCGTCCTCTTCGCCGGCGCCATTTTATGCGCCGCTCAATCACTTCTTAAACCTGAGGGGAAGGGAGGGGGCCGAAAAAAGAAGGCAAGACAGCTGCGTGAAAGCTGCTAGCTCTGTGGCAACGAAACCCCTTGGAGAGTCGTGACACGGTGAGCTCTGTGAGGGAGACCCTGGGAACTTCGCTTTTAGGTGGAAAACAGACTTCCGCGATGGCAGCAACGAGGGAGGAGGCAAAGATTGTGACGACCATTACAGAGGAAACTGGTTCGTAGGCCACGGACAGTATTACGTAGGGGGGGCGGAGCACCCAAGTGGAAGCTAAGTATGACGTCAGGATTGGCGCAAGCGCCGCTGGAGGGGCGGAGTTTGTGTTTCTCCCTTCGGCGGAAAGTTCTCCAAATGCCGTTTGAATAAGGCCGAGCTTCGTGGAATCCTCTTTAGTCCTGGGTAGCCGTCAGGCCTTCGAGTTCGAAGACGACGACGACTACCCTCTCCTGTGCGGTCCCATCTGTGGACGCGGAGGTGACTGCAGTCCCGAGTCTGGAAGTGCGGAGTCTACCACAGTGGAGGCACTGAAAGGCCATTGTAGTAACTGTGTAATTCTTTAACACGGCTCAGGTTTTCTATCACTTTTGGGCGGGGGTCTGTTCTCAAAGCTGGGGAGGGCTTCAGAGCGCAAGGCCGAAATGTTGCAACAAATCAAATATGATGGCTATTTGATGCATTTATCTAAGCTTTGGTGATGGAACCTTGATTCATCGGATGTATTAGGAGTCATTGACTTATGACTGTTAATTGAGCCCAGATTTAAATTGTTTAAATTGTCATTAAATTGTTACAGTGATATATTGAGGCACTCACAGGAGGAAGTAATTTTAGGGCCCTTTTTGAGGTGGTCATCAGGTGAATACCATGGTCATTAAAGACACGCATTTATTTGAATGGGCTTTTTTTTTTACGGAGACTCAACAAATACTAGAAACGGGCAAAGACATAATTATGGACACATGACTGTGGAATGCTGTGACAAATCATAAAATTGACCCGCCTGAGAGTCTTATGACTGCACAGGGGCCCAACAGTTTACAAAAGCGAGAAGTGCCTTAGCAACTGTAAAGCAGAACCATAAAGTTCAAGTAATTTCAAATGATTGTAAAATGGTTCGTTCTTAATTTAGGACTGTTTGTAAGTTAATGCAATTCTGTTTCATTCACTCATTGCAGCCACATCTGATTGTTTTCTAATCTAAAAATATTGAAAATCAACATAAATTCAAATAAAATCAGTGATGAGGAAGGCTCTTTCAAAGTAAGGCAGCCATGCCAGTTAGAGAGGTAGTACACAGAATAAAGAAATGCTGGCCCTACGTGCAGCAGCCCCATAGTAGAGCAACAGAAAGCCTGCAGAAATTGTGCACCAAAATGTATATAGCAGGGTGCAATAGATTGTGTGACCTTGCTTTTTATGTCTTTTACTGTCTCAGGAAATTATAGCTACCAGTTGAAACAACTACAGACTCTGTGCAAAAAATGCAGAACTCATCATGCAGCATTTAATTGCATAATGTACCCATAACTTTTTTCTGATGACAAATCAGAATTTTCCTGATTGATGCATTACTCCCAAACTCACTACATGAATACAACTTGCCAATTCACCAGTGGGTTCTGATTGTTACTTTGTAATAAGAAATTGAAGCTTTTTGACATGTTTTAAGTTTGTAACATTACACCAGGGGTGTCAAACTGCCTGCCTGCTGGGTGCATCATGGCGAAACCGTGCCCACCCCATTGCTGGCAATGGAAAAAAGTCACGACACGTCTTGTAACGTTGTGAGTTTGACACCCCTGCCTTACACTTTCCTTCAATAGAAACATGTCTAATCAGATTTAATCTGAAGAGTAAGGCAATATCTTTCAAGACTTGAAGTAATAGGAATTCTAAATTCTAAACTGTTTTATGAGGTCACAAATGAGAAATTTCTGCTAAAATTATGAAAATTTATATAGCCTTCAAGATTGTGATGAACTTGATCAGAGAAGAATATTCATTGTATTTAAAACAGTAATTGACTATTGCTGTGGGATTATCAGATATAAAAATTGCAATATTGGTGCTTTATGAAGAAGCTGTTATGTTTTTTGTTTGGGCTTACATGCTTTGTGTAGTTTTTCCAAAGCCAAATACAATTGGTACAAGTATATAGGCTAATTCTGTTCCTAAGGGTTTCCTCCACTGCTTTTGTGCAATTACTTTTATTTTTGGGGGGAAATGATTTTTTTTTCATATAAAAAGCTGCATGTATATAATCTGTGAATCTAGCTATTAAAACACCATAGGGTACAATGTGTTTTTCTCTATAGGGAAGTTTTTTTTTAATCCTAGTCTTTGTAGTCTATTGGCTATTCATGTCTGCTTAATTTTAATCATGAAGATCTAATTATAAGTTTGCGGCTACTGATAATGTGGCAACATAGAGATGCAATGCACCCTATGAACAGGAGGGCTATAGTATAGTATACGTGGCTTTATCAAAAAAGGGTTTTTCAACAATATCCCCGGGGTGACAATCTATAATGGCAAAGAAGTGAGACAGTGTGTGGCCTGCATAGCAATTAAGTGCAAAATACATATTTTAATGTAGAACAGGTGCCTGAATAATTATTGATTGATAAAATAATTTACCTGCACATCATACTTTTAATACTCAAGTATGATGTTGATAAGTTAAAAAATAATTTCTAAACAAAACTAGGTGATTTGGGCTACTATTCATGGCAAGTAAGAGAAGATAGTAATATATATGGATTCACTAAAGGAAGCACAAGTATTTAAATTATTTAATTGGCCCATATTATTAATGTTTTGGCAAAAGCTGCCCAGTACATCATAGTATGTGAACAGCCAACAAATATATAATACAACTAAAACCCATTTTAAAAGTTCTGTAAACTACTGACTTTTAAAAAGAGAATGTAAACATTTTTATGTGCTACACAAATTCACTGGAAAAGTACTGAATAAAACTTTTTTTCTTCTGAGCTTTTTTCTCAAGCACTGTTTTAACTGAAAGTTTTAATGGAAGAAAATAGCACTATCCATTATCTAAATTGGTAAATACTGTTTTCCCATCTCTTCTCATATTCCATAATAGATTATGCCAACTAAAAAGTGATAATTGAAGGCATACGTGATAAGATTCTACTGGGGAAGCTATTTCTGTTCTGTAGCTACAAATTGACAAAATATTAAAGAACAGTCAAAGCTTATATATTTAACATGTTTCCTTTACATTCTCATTTAAGTGTTATAAAAGTATAATACTTTGGGGAAAATATTTCATATTAGTCGCATTCATTTGGTAATTAATATTACTTCAGGATTTTTTAAAGTATTATCACACAGGCGTCCTGTCTAATATCTCTGACTGTATTATTCATCATAACAGGAAAAGCAGTCAGGGCATATCTAAATATATTTTTATGAGTTGAAATGCTACTTCCCATGTATCAGCATTGAGGATTGAAAGGATAGGTTCTCCTCCAGAAAGTTTGAGACCCTTCCCAGACAATGATGGGTTAGGTAAGCTTGGTGTGTGTATGTTGAGATGAGACTTTTCATCTCCTGTTGCTTCCAATTCTGCCAACTTCCATTCAACATTGTTGCCAAAACCACTGCCTAGAATGCTTTGCAAGTGCAATGCATCTAATTTGTAAGTAAATTAGATGCCTAGCAAGTTGCATGTTTCCATGGATTCTAATCAAATATGTCAAATATCACTGGATTAAACTTGATATCATGTAAACAGAATCTGCAATGTTTTGAAACACTAGATGTGCATGTATAGGGATAAAATCTTGTTTGTAAAGCAAGATTCAGATCTGTCATATCTCACCCCTTCTAGTTTTCGTTTAATAAATTTTTGAAGCAATCATTCAAAAACTCTAAACAGTAATTGGAAAATGATTTAGTGCAAGTTGGTCATTAAAATAATGGCAAATACATAAGCAGACCTGTGGTACAGATTACAAAATGAATTCAAGTAAAAATGTTACATGTTTTCATCATCTGATTCATCCTCTTCTTTCAAAGATTCCTGTTAAGAAAATAAAATCAGACCTAAATTATTCTACATTGTTAAAAAAAACAATAAATGATAGAAAAATAAGGATTCAGATTTTCAGATAGTGAAATGCAAAATAATTATCTGATGTGGACATATTGGATTAATGGAGTAGATACAAATTCAAGAGCAACCTTTCACTTTACATTTTTTCTGGTGTTATTGTCTGATAATAGTAAACATTACTTCAGAAATATAATTTTTTCTCCCATAAGATTGAAATAAGATTGAATAAAAATATCTTCCCAGTGATAGCACTAATGTTTTGGTATATCTTCCCCAGAAGATACTTAGCATCATCTTTACCATGTTTCATAAAAATGCCAAGCTAATATTGTTTGAATATAAACACATTATATTCTGATATTACTTAATGTTTATTTAAGATGGAAAAGTATTCTGGATTCTGATTATTATAAATTACTGTGAGTCTAGGGATCTGAGCAGTATATATTTAAATCTTTTTATTATTAACTGCATAATTAATTTTGATTCCTGAATTATTTGAAAATATCTTGACAATTGTGGGAAAATGTCTGGAATTGTATTAATTTAAAAGCCATTTTCATTTACTCTGAAGTTCACAAAGTTACCTTAGCATATTTCTCTGCTTCTTCTTTAACATCTTTGGGCACAGTTTCATGTTTTCCTTTAGTTACTGTGAATTTAAAAAAAAGTTAGAACACAGTGTATAATTGGAGAATAAAATTCAACATTTTTTTTAAAACATTGTGTCAATTATATACCTCAAGCAATGATCTATCATAAAGATTAATATAAGTTATCTAAGTTTAGAGCAAGATTTTCTTTCATATTATTTAAGAAATTATTTTTTTAAAAAAGTGATATATTACCTTCTCCAACCCAACTTAGTTCAAGTTCAAAGGCTTTATCTTTTACTTCATCATGGACTATGTAGATTCTAGAAGGAAAAAAATAGAAAATATAATTATTTCTTCAGGAAGAATGATATTATTAAAATGTTTTACCTATGCACAGCATATTCTCAGATTTTAAATGATATAAAAATCATACACTTTTCATATAAACCAAGAATAAAAAGTTGTGGACATGAATTTTTTGGCCCAATCCAATTTGATATCTGAGAGCCTCTTACCTGATCTAAACACTATTTCTAATTTATTTAAACTGTAAGATCTCCTGCCCCATTGTCAAAAGAAAAACAAAATAATCTCATTTTCTTTGGGAATCAGACCAAGATAAAAGTAGAGGTAGTCTTCAAATTCCAACTGTTCAAAAGTACGACGGACCTACTGGGGGCTAGTTAAGACAGTCTTCCCACCCTCAAAGTCATGTGACTAAACTTTGGGTGCTTACCACCTGGGCCACATTTACAGCCATTTGCAGAGTCCTATCGTCATGTGACTGCATTTTATGACAGTTCTGCCAAAATCCAGCATTTACTTATGGTTTTCAGCAAAACCACACTTAGTGAATCATTGGTTTGCTTAATGACCATGGCATTCACTTAACTGCATCAAAAAAGTTGTAAAATCAAGTCTATCACATGATGGTCTTAACAACCATCATGATTAACAACCATGAGGGCAGACTCCATTACATAAGTCACGGACTACCTATAATGATTTTTGTTTCAGCCTAAAAGCTGGCATGAAAGATAGTCACTTTTTAAAAAAACTTACATTTTTGCAACTTCTTTAACAGCATCACGGCACGTCGTATCTTTCATCTGTGGATGTATTACTAACATTTTACTAATTGTTAAAACAGAAAAAACAATAGTGCAGTTCAATAGTATCAATTATAAATAGCCTCAAAATGTATGTATGTATGTATATGTATCTGTATATAGGTGTGTGTGTGCATGTGTATGATTAATGCATAGTGTTTTTAGTATAAGAATCACATTAAATAGTGCTCATGAAGGTTATATTCCGTCTTGTACTAATTTCATCAAAACAGAATCAGATAAATGTGATGTGTTATTAGAGGTATTTTGTTGGTTCATCCAACAATACCTGGGATAGTATCAACTTCCTGAGATAAGACATATTTTTAAAAATGTAAGTTTTGATATATCTACATGTAAAATAGAATTCTACCGTGTCTGGATGGGACTAGAGAACCAAACTGGGAAGCTCCAGAGAAGATTTGGAAACAAATACTGGGAGGATATAGCTGATATATCTTATTACAGGTAGTCCTTGAGTTACAACTGCAAATAGGACCAGGATTGCCATTGTTAAGTGATACAGTCATAAAGTACGACTACATATGACCACATTACTTAGCAACAACAATCCCAGTATTCCCAGTTGCTGCTTTAGCCCCAAGACACACCTGGGCATAACCTCAAACTGACAGAAGGGAAGTTCAAACAATGTTGGAAAGTATTACTTCACAGTAGTGAAGGTTTGACACCAACTTCCAGCGGAGGTAGTAGCTCAGTCATCAGTAACTGAGTTTATACATGCTTGGGAGAAACACATGTCCACCATCCAATAAAAAACAAAAAACAAACATAATAAAATAAAAACCTTAAAGAGCAAACTTGATGGACCACTACATCTTTTTCTACTGTCAATTTTCTGTTTCTCCATGAGGTGCATTAAATGGGAAGTGGCAAGAATCTAGTTTTTCATTTATTTTAGTCTAAGGTAGACTCAGGATGAACAGGAACTAATTAAGTCAGACTATAAAATTGTACACATGTGCTTCTAACAATTCTACAATGTGATCCTGGTTTCTTTGAGTATAAATGAATAGCAATTTCAATTTAGGAACAGAAGCTTTCACTCTTTATCTCTAAATGAAAATTGGAAACGAATTCTAGCTACAGGGAAGAAAACCATGTCTTCTTACAAAGTCCGAGTGACACAGGAAGACGTTTGCAGGGCACTAAAGCTCTGTACCGTGTTTCCCCGAAATTAAGACCCGGTCTTATATTTTTTTTTTTGCCTCCAAAAGGGGCACTAGGTCTTAATTTCAGATAATGTCTTACCTTAGGACCATCACAGAACAGGCCTCCCACACCCTGACACCTGTCGCACCACTGCTTGACTTCTGCGGCCACTTGTGGCCAGATGCCTTGTGGTGCATTGTGCCATTGCTGCTCCCGGCAGGGCGCTGCATGGTGCTTTGCACCATTTCTGCTGCTCGCAGCAGGACGCTGCGTGACTCTTTGGGCCGTTTCCGCAGTAGAGCAACAGCAGCAGCCTGAAGCGCTGTGCAAGCAGCAGAAGCAATCCAAAGTGCTGTGCAAGTAGCGGAAGCGGCCCAAAGAGCACGAGCAATGGAAGCAGCCTGAAGCACCATGCACATCCTACCGGGAGGAGCAATGGCATCATGCACATGGTGGCCGGCCACAAGTGGCGGCAAGCAGCCGCAGAAGTAGTCAAGCAGCAGCACGACAGGTATCAGGGTATGGGAGGCCTGGCTGTGGTGAGTGTGGGATGCGTGGGGCAGCTTTACTCCTCACTCCTGCTTTAGCTTGATTTTTAGGGGTGCGCCTTGCCCCAAAACTAGGGCTTAGTTGTAGAGTAGGGCTTATATTAGGCCCACTTCCAAAAAACAAGCTAGGACTTACTATCGGGCTGGGTCTAACTTTCGGGGAAACATGGTATTTACTTGTTTTCATTTAATTTTGCAATGATTAAGGACAACTTTTTAGTGAGATTTTTCTCCTTTGAAATAAAACAAAGGTGCAAAGGTAAATTCATTCAATGATTTATATTAACATGCTACAAGGATAGCAATACTTAGATGGAGTCTAGCTAGAACTGATAGGGTAACTATGTCATTGCAAGTCAATGTTTTATTGCTTTTACCTTGTCAAAAGAACTTTAGAACTCTGGAAAATCAGAAGCATTTCCACATAGATTTCCAGTTAATATCAGGCATTTGTACAGAAGAACAAGAACTGCTTTTAGTATGTAATGTGCTACAATAGTCTTACCTGGAGCTTTTCAATCTCTGTCTTTGCAGCCTGTCTTGCTTTACCAATAGCACATCCCCAGTATCCCTGCAAAAAACAAAAAAATGAAAAGGATTATATTTAAGAAAAGTAATCCCTGTAACAAACACATTTAGATTATTGTTTCAAAATGGCAAACACAATTATATATTTCATAAACATACACACGTGATTTCTCAGAACAGTCAATATTTTTGTATCTCCAAACTGATAATTTATCTAATAAAAATCTATCTGTTTGCTGATCTTTAATTTAGAAGCTGCCTTTTACAATAGAGCAATTCAGAGGATAATGATGATGTAACAGTAGCACCACTACTATTGAACACAAACATTTGAGGCAAGAGACAGAGGAAGAAATTGAAGATTTTTTGCTTCTTTTTCCAGTCATAAATAACTTATAGCATATTGGGCAAAAAACGAATAGTGTTATTTCTGCCCATTTATTATAAAGTAAAAGCAGTAAGTAGGAATTGTGGATAAATCACTTAACAGGATATTCAGAATTAAGGTTACTACTGGCAAGTGGATTTAAATCTTTATCAGAATAGATAACTTTGCACTTTTGCTATATATTAGAGTGCCTGTCAGATCTGGCAAACCTTAATTTTCCCACAAATACATATGGAATAAAAACTATTGGCATTTCAATTACCAGCTTATGATTTTAGATACTCTACAGTTATTACATACTTCTGAAAATTGTGTTTACTGTTAAATAGATTTAGCTATTCCTACTCACTATGGATAATGGATAATATTCTTGGTTTTCATTAAATGGATGTAGATCAAAATACTTACATATGAAACTCCTGATGGATCTATCATGTAGAGCTGAGCACCATCATCATCATCATAGGAACCTAACATGAAGCTGGAAAATCAAGGTTTCTTATTAGAAACTATTAGGAAGAAATCTTCAATAAGTTATAGAAAGCAAAGTCATTCATAGTTGTTTTGCTGAAGGAATTGCTATAATTGCTATACTCCTAGTACCTAACAGTAAGGTACTCATAGTGATAAATCAATCACTTATATTATCCTTCCAAATAAAAAAAAGATAATTTATTCACACTCCTGAACTGGATAATGGCAGAATAATACAAGGACCATATGTACAATTTGGTATATTACTTCTTAAGACAATAATCTATATTCATTCAGAGTCAGGTTTTTCTGCTTTAAATATGCCCTTTTTAAGTGGACATGAATATGAACTGCTTAACATTTTGCCTAGGGAGAAAGGTAGTGTTGTTTTTAATCTGCTTTTATCGATTGTTGTGAGCCACCTGGGATCGTTGTATGAGATAGGCGGACCTGTAAGTTCTGTCAATAAATAAGGAGTATGTTGAGAATGTGAGAAACATGCAGAAGAGGCCTTCATCCTGAAGGACAGACAATGGCTAAAATGATGGTGTTGAGAACCAAGAAACATCCCAGGAAAAGGCAAACCATTCTAGACAGAATGGAGCATTTGGAAATGCTCCGTTATTCTGTACTTCTTCAACAAGGTTCGCCTATTCAAGGTTGCCCGCTATCTCCTCTACTGTTTATACCACAGGTCGGCAACCTGCGGCTCCGGAGCCGCATGCGGCTCTTTGAGCCTTCCCCTGTGGCTCCCAGCCTCCTCTGCCTTTGCAGAGAGAGACAGAGAGAGAGAGGCAATTGCACATCCCTGCTTCTCTCTCTCTCTCTCTGTGTGTGTGTTTTGTGTGTGTGTTGTGTGTGTGTGTGTGTGTGTGTGTGTAAAAGAGAGTGCACTCACAGTGTTCTCCGAGGAGCTGAAAAGCTTTCTGGGCGGAGCTCCTCCCTTTGCTGCGTCTCTGAAGGAAGCAGGAAGAGGAAGGGCAGGAGAGAGCTAGCTAGCCCAGCTAGGCTGACTCAGGAATTCTGGGAGTTGAAGTCCATGAGTCATAAAAGAGACGAGGTTGCCTACCCCGGAGGTTGTTGGACAACAGCTTGAAGCTTGCCAGGTGAGCAGCAGATAGGAGGGGGGGGGGGAGAAAGAGAGAGAGAGAAAGAGAGAGAGAGGGAGAGATAGAGAGAGTGGGGGAAGAGGAGTGGCAGACCAAGGGCAGATAGAGAGGGAGGGAGAGAGAGACCCTTTTGACATCTAAAATGAAGATAACACTGCATATATCCTTTTTTACCTGTGTGTGTATGTAATTTTATTCTCTTAAAGCATTCTCTTGGTGATCATTGTTTTAATAGTATGGATATTCCCAAGAGTCATATTTTTACTTTTATTTTTAATGTGTATATGTGTGTGTGTGTGTGTGTATACACATACACACACACACATACACATACACACACCTATAATAAAGGTAAAAAGGGATATATGCAGTGTTATCTTCATTTTAGATATCAAAAGGGTTTTGCAGGTCCCAGTGTTTTGTTTTTGGTGGGAAATGGGTCCAAGTGGCTCTTTGAGTGTTTTGGGTTGCCTACCCCTGGTTTATACTATCCCCGGAGGTACTAAATAGAATAATTCGGAAGGATGAGTATATTAAAGGTTTAGAGATTAAGAGAGAAATTTTTAAACTGCAAGCTTTTGCTGACGATCTTGTTTTCATACTCAAGAACTTTTACAATCAGGGACAAGGCTAATGGAAGTACTGGGTGAATATGGTGAAATGGCAGGCCTAAAGATAAATAAGGAAAAAACCAAAATACTTGTGAAGAATATGATTAGATCACAGAAAAACGAAGTAACTGATAAATTAGATATTCAGATCACAAAGAAAATAAGATACTTAGAGATACATCTAACAGCTAGGTTTGTAACAATTAAAAGAGACAATTATGACAAATTAATGGATCAGATTAAAACAGACTTGGACATCTGGACAAATCTCCAGCTTTCTTTCATGGGTAGAATTGCCGTAATTAAAATGACTATATTACCTAAAATATTATTCCTATTTCAATGTATACCAATTAGATTAGAAAAGGAATTCTTTTGAAATTTCAACCAAACCATACTTAAATTCATTTGGCAAGGGAAAAAACCAAGGATTAAATTAAAATTATTACAGGATGCTAAGGAAAGGGGGGGTCTCGGCCTCCCCGATCTGTAAGAATACTATCAATCTACAATTCTAACTGGGTGCGGGATTGGATTTGACTGGAAAATCGGAGATTATTAAAACTAGAAGGTCATGACATGCAGACGGGATGGCATGCCGTGTTATGGGATGAGAAGGGGCGTTGTCTTACCTGAACGCCTTTTCTAAGCAGGATGATGTAGAGTCCACTGGATGGGTTCTATGACAGCCTTCCTGCCCGGCAGACTGGGTAAAAAACTTTGGCCACACCCTTCCCTTGGGCGTGACCCCAGTTTTGACTGAGACGAGTCAAAACTGTTTTATTGAATTCTATATAGTAGCTCCTTGTCCAATGCCTGCCTAGACCTAATACCTGGGAAGGTGTGGACTCTACATCATCCTGCTGAGAAAAAGCGTTCAGGTAAGACAACGCCCCTTCTCCAGCAGGATGGCTATAGAGTCCACTGGATGGGACATACCAAAGCCCTCATGTCCCCCTGGGAGGGAGTGTCTAGGCCACTGGATCCTGAGTAGAGACAACTTGCTGTAGCACTCTTCTTCCAAAGGCAGCATCCGCTGCCGCAAAGGAGTCTAAACGGTAATGTCTGACGAATACAGAGGGAGAAGACCAAGTTGCGGCCTTACAAATCTCTTCCACCGAGGCTTGTGTGGACCACGCTGATGTGGCCGCGCTGCGCGTTGAATGAGCAGTTACATGTGGTGGCACTGGAATTGCCTGAGAGACGTAGGCTTGGGCTATACAAGCTCTGATCCACTTTCCTATGGTAGAAGATGATACCTTCTTCCCCATAGTTGATGGTTGGAAGGAAACAAATAGTTTCCGTCTTACGGAAAGACGAAGTGCGCTTTACGTAGTAACACAGTGCTCTACACACATCCAGCTTGTGCCATCTGTGTTCTAGCCTATGTCTGGGATTCGGACAGAAATCAGGAAGGGTCAGTTCCTGAGATCTGTGAAAGATGTTGTTTACCTTCGGAATGAATGCAGGGTCCGGTCTGAGGACCACCTTGTCCTTGAAGAAGGTACAGAGATCCTTCCTGACTGATAATGCTGCTAGTTCCGAGATTCTTCTCGCTGAAGTGATAGCCACTAGAAAGGCTACCTTTAGTGATAGGTGATGGAGAGAGCATGAGTTGAGAGGCTCAAAGGGTGCTGATGTCAAGGCTTGAAGAACTTTAGGCAAGTTCCAAGAAGGATACCTGTGTATAACAGGAGGCTTAGTATTGACTGCTCCCTTTAAAAAGGCGCTAATCGCCGGATGTTGCGACAGAGAAGTTGAATTGTCACAGGAAAGGACAGTTGAGAGGGCCGCTACCTATCTACGAATGGTGTTGACTGATAGGCCCTTATTAAGACCTTCTAATAGATAGTCTAAGATATTGGGAATAGTCACCGAAATTGGATCTAGGTGATGTAGAGAGCACCACCTGCAGAACCCCTTCCATGTAGCGTCGTAGATCCTGTTTGTCGAAGGTCGTCTCGATGCTTGAATGATCGATATCACCCCTGAGGAATAGGATTGCATGGTTAAACTCTGCCGCTCAAATGCCAAGCGGCTAGTTGTAGCCATTGAGGGTCTGGATGTAGAAGCTTGCCCTGACTGAGTCTTACTCGGTCCGGGGGAATCTTCCACGGGGGTGATATTGAGAGATCCACAAGGTCGGCAAACCACGGACGCCGTGGCCAGTGTGGAGCAATCAAGAGTACTTCTGCACCTTCCAGGATCAACTTGCGTATGGTTGCCGGTATTAAGGGGAGTGGTGGAAAGGCCTACAGGAGTTGTGCCGGCCACCGACACCTGAGAGCGTCCGTTCCCTCCTATCCCAGAGTTGGGAATCTGGAGAAGAACCTGGGTAGTTGTGTGTTCTTCGGAGTGGCAAATAGGTCCAGGTGCGGTCTCCCGAACCTCCGGGAGATTTCCTCGAACAGAACCGGATCCAGATGCCATTCCGACTGATCCACCTTGGCTCTGCTCAGGGAGTCTGCCTGGAGATTTGCCTCCCCTGAGATGTGTTCTGCTCTGATGGACCCCAATTTTGCTTCCGCCCACTGAGCCAGAGCTGATGCCTCCTGCATCAGTTCCACGGATCGTGTTCCTCCTTGTTGACATGGGCCTTTGCTGCTACGTTGTCGGTTAGAACGAGAACGTGTCTTCCCGTTACTAGGTGGGAGAATTGACGTAGAGCCAAGTGAATGGCCCGAAGTTCCAGCCAATTGATGCTGTGAGTGAGGTCCAATTGTTTCCACTGGCCCTGAGCTATCTGGGTTCCCAGATGGGCTCCCCATCCGAATAGGCTCGCATCTGTCATGAGCGTGACCCGGTTCGGTTCCCTGAATATGCTTCCCCTGAGCATCATGGGCGATATCCACCAATTTAGTGATCTCAGTAAGTGATTTGGTACCAAGACCCTCCTACTGGAGGTACTGAGGTTCCTCCTCTGATAGGGGAGGAGGAACCACTGTAACTCCCTTGAGTGGAGTCTTGCCCATGGAACAATGCCCATGCAAGGTATCATTTTCCCCAGGAGCTTCGAGAGCTGTATCAAAGGTACTCTCTTGTCTCTCCGAAGCTGACGAACCAGCTTCGAGATGCTGCTTCGACGCTCCTGGGAAAGGTATACCCTGCACTGGGATGAGTCTATCACCGCTCCCAGATGCTGGAGCTTCCTTGTGGGAGTGAGATGGCTCTTTTCTAGATTGACTGAGAATCCGTGATCCTGTAGAATGCGGATTGTGGTCTGAAGGTCTAATTTTGCTTGCTCGTGCGAGCTGGACTGAATCAAGATGTCGTCCAGATAAAACTGT